TCTGCTGTCTGGGCAACCCCCCTTCAGACCAGGGCTGTGTTGGTGCTGGCTGCCATTGGCATTGAATCCACCCCTGGCCTGGATAAAATCCCCACCCTGGAGGGATACTCTCTGCAGGAGGCAAAATTCCTTCTGGAAAACGAGGGGATTGCCTCTGAGGCTGCAACATACCTCTGTTAGTTGATGCTTCTTTCTGGCTTCCTCCAATTGGCATCTGTATAGTCTCCTCATTCCTCACGATACTTGTGTAACTGAATATGGGTGGTCTCAAGCTTCCACCCATCCAAACAGACTGGGAGACCAAACCTGTCACCTTTAAATTCTGGAACTGTTGATGTAAATCTGCCCCGATGGACTTCCAGGAATAATCTGGGGGTTGTCTTCTTGAGAGAATTCCTACCCAAATTGTCTCTCTTCCCTCCAATCCGACAGAATAGCCATATGCTTGGGACTAGAGAAAGATTTCTCTTCAGACAGCTGGGTTACCTCTGGGTTATAACAACTTCTTGAGTTGAAATGCTTCGGTATAGCTCCTAAATCTCTTTCTCCAACTGCCATCCTGGAAGCATCCATCATCTCCTCCCAACAAGGGTTGGCAGTTTCAATTAATGCTCCAGAGGGAGGGCCCCCACACACTCCCCTCTGCACACCTCCAACTTCGGCTAATTGTTGATAATTCTCCATCTCAGGAAAAAGAACTCCGGGTATCAGCCAAGCCCTTTAAAAAAAAAATTGATTTGGGAGTGTATCCATGATATCAATCACTCCGAGACGTTATCTCTCCAATTGATTTATTAGAAAAAGATCTGGCATATCCAAAGCAATTTCCCAAGTGAAAGTTTTTTCGCACGTTACACAGAATCCACCTTCTCTCCTCCCACTTCTACACTTCATAAATCATGAGAACCAATTAACTGCAACTGGAAATTCTTAATACAACATACAGAATAACCTTGAACTTTTCAACTCCTCTAACTCTCAAAAAATGTGGCAGGGGGGCAAAACTAAGGAGGGGCGCTCTGTGAGGCCACAGAAGAAATTGCAATCTCCTGTTGAGCCCCAGAGCTTTTTCCCTCTATGCCACGACAAAGAGACGAGACGGCCAAGATGGCTGCCATGAAGTTGGGACAGCCGAGGATCAGTTGCAGGAATTGGGCGTGGGTAGTCTAGTGAAGAGAACACTAGTGGAGACATGATAGCAGTGTTCCAATATTTGAGGGGTTGCCACAGAGGAAGGGGTCAAGCTATTTTTTAAAGCGCCCAAAGGCCAGACAAGGAATAATGGATGGAAACTGAATAAGGAGAGATTTAACCTGGAAATAAGGAGAAACTTTCTGTCAGTGAGAACAATCAACCAATGGAACAGCTTGCCCTCGGAAGTTGTGGGAGTGTCATCACTTGAGACTTTCAAGAAGAGATTAGACTCCCATCTGTCAGAAATGGTGTAGGGTCTCCTGCTTGGGGAAGGGGTTGGACTAGATCAGAGGTCGCCACCTTTTGGACCTCAGGGACCATCAAACTCATAATTTTAAATCCCGGGGACCACTAATATGAATTTTGACTGGCGGTGGCTTGCTGATGTTGGTGAGAGAGAGAGAGGTCTAATCTAACCTCTCTCCCTCCCCCTCCCTCCCTCCCCCCCCTCTCTTCCTCTCTCTCTCTCTCTCACACACACACAAACAGGGGTGGGATTCAAATTTCTTAACAATTGGTTCTTGGGCGGGGCCTAATTTGTGGGTGTAGCTTAGTGGTCATTTGACTGGCTGGCCATGGCTTGTATGTAAATATTATAAATATTTATGTAAATATTGATTTTTTTTATTAAAAAGAAAAAAAACTTTTACCCCAAATTAGGCAAAGCAGGGAGGCAGATTGAGTTGCTTACAGAATCACAGATTCAAAGATCTATCTTTCTGCCATTGGCTACCTGAGCCTGTCACATACAATTTGCTTGCAAGCAAACTCACAAAATTGACTCACAACATACCATGTATGTAAATATTGAATTTTTTTATAAAAAAGAGTAACTTTTACCCAAAATCAGCCAAAGCAGGCAAGCAGATTGAATTGCTCACAGAATCACAGATTCACTTAGAGATCTATGATTCTGCCATCAGCTACCTGCACTGAATAATAGAAATTTCAGTCCTAAGGAAGGTTCGGCTCCGCTTAAAAGCAAAGCCGGAGATCTAAAGATTAGCTAGAAAGCAAGAAATCCAACGTTTCCTGCTTTCTAGCTAATCTAAATCTCCCTGCACAGCAGAACAGCTGATGGCTGGGGGGAAAAAAAGGAAAAATAGCAACTTATCAGGCAAATTTGCTAGGTAAGGAGTGAGTGAGTGGGGAGGGTTCCCGTGGGCCATGGGGTGCTTCAGCCTTGTGTTCCCGCAGAGCCTGGATTAATTGCTTTGGGGGGGGTGTTCTGGGGGTGACATTTCTCTGTGGCCCACCAAAATTTTCTCATGGACCACCAGTTGGCAACCACTGGAATAGATGACCTACAAAGTCCCTTCCAATTCTGATTATCTATTACCTGTTACCTAACAAAGATGCTGCAGCGAAGTTAGTGAACAGTGTTTGGAACTAGATGAGAAGAATCTGTTTTTATTCAAGTCTTTAAACCTCAAAAAGAATCTGGAAAAGGAGTCACAATTATCTTTAACCTAGCAGCAACCTGGCATATTGAAAAAAAATATTAAAACTGGATGAGAAAGAACTGGAGGAAAAAAGATAGAAAAAATGGCTAAAATATAGAACATTGGACTTCTAAACTGGGCAGGCATTTTACTGGACAGGCATTTTGAAACATTGGAAGTATTTACCCAAAAATTAACATCATCTTTATATTGTGGAAAAATGGGGAAAATGTAATTAATATTGAAATTTAATATTGAAATTTAAGTAAAGAGAGCCACCTGCTGATGAAAGGAAGAATAGCATATTCCCAAAACTTTTTATTGAAGTATTAAATGCAGAAGGAAAGAAAATATTGCTGAAAAGACCCCTGAGGATTACAACATAAAATTGGATTTATAGAAGGACCTAAGGAGGTCCTGGAAGATTGAAGGTGCGTTTCAGAGGTACAGGCAGACTAAATTGGGGATAAAGAAACAAGAACATTGAACTGTTAGAGAGGTTTTTGTAGATTTGAACATATGGTTTTAGACTATTGGATAAAAGAGATTCAATAAAACTCAACAAAATGCTTCATCAAAAATAATGGACTGGAATTTGGGAAGAGGTGGCATTGGCAATTCAAAGTACAAGGGAGACACCGACAAGACATTGCCAGAAAATTATGGAAAGATTGGAGGATATAGGTGAAAAACTGGAAAATACAATACAAAAGACAGTGAGTGTTCAAGACACCCAGGAAGAGGAGGAGTCATCTGAAAAAGGAGATGAAAAAATGGAAGAGACAAAACAAAAGGGACAAGAGGAAACAAAAGAGACCATAATAAATACAATAGGGACAGATGATATAAGCTTAGCGGAGAGGACCTTAAGGAAAATAAAAAAGAAATTGGGGAAACAGGAAGATTTTTATGGGAGAGAGACAGGGGTAAGAGCAGATATTCTGAAAATTAGATAATGGAAAAGGAAGAGAAGGGAGAAAAACTTAAAATGAGTAGCCAAGATGTACAAGCAGATCGAAACAAAGACCCAAGAGAGGAATATGGAAGGCAAGCTAAAAAATGAATAATTAAAGCTTTAAGGTGGATAAGAGATGTATCAGCTTTAAAATTCAGCTGTCACATTTCATGGAAGGGGGGGTGGAGGAGTTGAAAAGTTCAAGGTTATTCTGTATGTCAGATTAAGAAATTCCAGTTGCAGTTAATTGGTTCTCATGATTTATGAAGGTAGAAGTGGGAGGAGAGAAGGAAGGAGAGAAGGTGGATTCTGTGTAATGCAATAATTTCACTTTGGGAAATTGCCTTTCACATGCCAGATCTGTTTCTAAATAAATCAATTGGAGAGAAAATGTCTCGGAGTGATTGATATCATGGATACTTTCTGGATGCCTTACAAGATGATGGTTAGAAAGGGGAATTTAACTAATATAATAGTGGCACAACAAAAAAAAGAATAGAAAGAAGAGATTTAGAGAAAGGGGAATTAATAAAATACACATTTTCATATAACAAGGAGAAGTAGTAATAAGAAGGAAAATTATATTTAATGAATGTAATATGTGTGTATGTTGCTTAAAGGTAGTAAATATGATTAATATTTTATTTGTATTAAAATGAATGATAAATAGAATATGGTGATTGCTACAAAATAATATGTTGTAAGATAGAATAATTAAATAATGGGGGATTATGAATCAAATAAGCATACAATGAAAGATTTTAATTTAACATAACCAATGGTATTATTATTATTAGAAGTCTATTAATTTGAAAAATGAAATAAATATGATGGATAATATTCTATGAAAGATGGTATATTTAAATAATATGATGATTGGCATAAGCAAAATAGGGTGATTGTCATGAAGATAATATGTTGAAATATATTCACAGTAAAAGATATGATACTTAAGATAGGATGATTGGTATAAAAATCATAGAAATAATGAATAATTGAACAATGAAAGATTATAAATTAATACAAAGAGGTGTACTATTATTAGAATTATATAAGCTTGTTTGATGGAACAAATATGATTAATATCAATTTATTTGTATTGAAATGTATGACACTCTGATACAACATTGTTCACACACTGATATGTTTGTAAAAAATAAAAACTTTTTAAAAAAGATCTGCAAAAAGAACAAAAATCAATTAGGTAACCATTCCAAATTTTGATTTTATTTTCATTTTTAATTCCCAGGATTTGGTCCTTAAAAGCTTTAATTTAGTAAAAGGAACCATATTTCCTGATTTGGTTTGTTAGATGTTCCCAGTTGTCCCCATTATTTCTATTTAATTTGATTATAATTATTATATTATATATAAATTATTATATAAGTCCTATAATTGTTCTCTTCTAGTTTCATGGATATAATATGGGTGAGAATCCCATTCAAGTTTCAGGGACAATCCAGTATCTTTTCCCTACTGATGGAGGGCAAATCCAAGCAGAAAAAATAATGTTTGAAAAAGGTAATTTTTTTTTTCATATTGTGAAGGTTTCCTATTGGACATTGACATGTTTATATGCTTCTCACATGGTATAAACATTATCCTGACACTTTAGTCAGAAATTAAATTAATTGGAGGATAAGACTCTCTATGACTAATACTATAGCCATGCAGGCTAGATATTATTTCCACATTGCAGGCAAAACACTTTTCAAAAGTAATTGCTGCAGAACACGCTGGAAGATGAAATTCCACCTACATATTGCTTGTTGGCTTCTCATAAGAATCTGGTCAGCTGGTTGTGGGAATAAAATAGTGAGGACTGATGGTGAGGTAACATAGCCCAATTATGTTCAATAGGACTTGCTTTAACATAAAATGAACAGTTGTAATAATGTGACAAACTGGCATGTCCATCTCAGCAATATTTCTCGACTCTAATTAAGTACACAAAATGTATTAGAAGAAATTAAATGCAAAGAAAGATACTTTTAAGGAATTCCACTAACAGATAACTCAATAGATGTGATATTTTGATATGTATATTTTGAATTCTGATATTTAAAATTATTAAATTCTGACAAAGTGACATTTAAAAATGATTTCACATCACTAATCAAAATTAATATGCCAGACAGAGGTTAATTATTGATATAAGAGTTCTAAGGGGATATTTATGTATCAACGAATACATTTAATTAAATATAATTTTAAGAAAATTCTGTTTTCACTTCGTTTTTGAAAGTTATACTTATATATGTATCTTACTTTAAATATTATACTAGATAGGTTAATATAGAAAAGAACTAGGAAACTATATTTAACTTCAGAAGATGGATTCAGCAAATGTTCTAGCAATCTGTATAATGTAATTGCCATATGGATTATTTAACATTAGAATCATGACTGCCCATTCTGATATTAGTTATTTATTTGTTTTCTTTTTCTAGGGTCAACCTTAGTTAAAGTGAAGGTGATAAAAGATAATCACAGTTTCTTCATTCATATAATAGATCCTCAGATAAGCCTAATAGAATGTAAAAATGAAGAAGGAAGTTTGTGTTCCCCAGAAGAACATGAGATAAAGCCAGGTAATCTAGTGAATATTAACAATTTTAAAAATTCATTTGGGTAACTATAAATGATCAAATCATGGTTTCATTATTCATAAAAGTGCTTCAGAAATGTATGCTTATCTTTTGTGTGCAACCATTCCCTTGATTAGCAAAATCCATAATTCATTGCGGTTTCTTTGATTCACTTTTAAAAACTTTACATCTATATCAAATTCCATACAGTGCATATTCCTAGATACAGTTTTAGTAATATAATACTCAAAACTTTTTTTGAACAAACAATGGTAGCACATTATTTAAGCCTCTTCAAAACATTTATTGTTTTGGGTTATTTATCTGATAATTATTTTTTTCCCTATTTGTTGACTATTTTGGGAAGAAATATTCCTTCTCTAGCAAGCATGATTTTTAATGTTATGCTCAGAGAAGCAAATTTTTATTTGCTTTTAGATTTTTTTAAATCCTGCCTTTATTATTTTTATAACTAAAAACACAAACATACCCGATATTTCTTTCTATTTGCCTCTCAATAACAACCCTGTGAAGTGAGTTTGGTTGAGAGAGAGTCACCAGTCCAAAGTAACTGAGTCAGTTTTCATGCTTAAAGCGGGATTAGAACTCAGTTTCCTGGTTTATAGCCAGCTGCCTTAAGGAATAGAGCATTTTGGATCCTAGTCTGATCATCTCTTGTACAGTACATATGTCAGGCTTTTACAAGGCAACTCAGTCAAAGGCATTAGTTTCTCTTAGGAGCAAGTCTTTGGAATCTGGCATTAAAGGTCACTTATTCCAAAGCAGTCCATAATTCTTGGCTTGCAAGTTTTTTATGTTCTCTAGTGTGTGAATCAAGGACATTCTATCATCTGAAGAGGAGTAATAATTGAGTTGTTGAGAAAGATTCCTTGATAGCTTTACAAATGCACAGCTTATTTCACATCACTACATTTTCAACTTTCTGCACCTTAAAATTAACTCCTCCCCGATCATGATTTTTAATATTTAGAGTGGCTAGAGTTCGTGAGCTGTCTGCAGTGGCTCCATCTTGGGCCCTGGACTGTATGCTATCATGCAGAAATCTTGTTTCTGTCAACCAACTGAGCCAAATTACAAATTACTCAAGATAGAAATTTATCTAGGGTTCAGTTTCTTGTCCAAACCCAGAACTGCCCACCCTGGTTGAGACTTGAATTCTGGATCTGAATCAGGACAGCCAAGTTCATGAGAGTGCTGATGTATGACAAGGGAGGCAAGGCGGAGAACCCTCAAATGTTTGGGAAAGCACTGAGGCCCTGCTAAGGCTTTGCCAAGTAACCAATTCACTTCAGCTTTGCTTGTGTGGAGACTGAAGGAATACAAGTGTTTTGGACTCTGCCTGAAAGCATTATCTTATTGCAGTAATTTTTCTGTGATAGATTCTTACCTTGATGCTCCAAGCTAGGACTGTCAAACTCCCGGCCCATGGGCCAGATGCATCACATGCTGCCCATGCCCATGCTCAGTTTAGCAAAGGGGGGGGAAGTCCCGATATGTCACGTGACTCCGCCATGATGACACAAGTTTGAAACCCTGCTCTAAACTGTGTCCTATCACCCAGAATCTTGAATCATTCTATACTAGTACTGTACAGAAATCTGTGTAGTTGTAATACTTTGTATCCAAATAAATGGCTTCTACAAAACAAGACTACTTCCTGAAATGATTTCTCTTCAAAAGTGAGCCAATATCAAATTACATTCCTAGTGTTCCCTTCATTTAGTACCTCAGTATTGTTAATAAACCTTCTTATAGCAGTTTAGAATTCTAGCAGTTGAGAGAAGCTTTTTTTTACCTTTTTTTTTAGTGAACTTTCAGTCAGTGAATCAAAAGTCAGTGTCTAGTTCATCAAGAAATAGCTACATTTGTAATACTTGTTAAATATTCAGACATAAATATTCATTTTCCTTTATTTTAGAAAAACTTAGTCAAGGAAAACCGCTGAGCAAATTTGGATCATTTTCTGCAACCTTAGAAAATGAAATCCATCTTTCCTTTAGTTGTTATGGGGCTTCAGGAAAAGCAGCAGGTAAAACATGCGAAAAGGAAAATGTTCATATATTCTGTGTCACACTTGTTCTACACTATGTTATGTTGAAAGATGATTTATACAGTAGCCATTACCTCATAATGGATTTTTAGCATCTTCTCAAAAATGTTGTCTAGAATCCACACAATTCCTGGGAATTTCTGTTCTGTATTTGTTCTCATGAATAAATTTGTAGCAAAGCAAAAATGAGAGTCAAAAGACATATTCAAATACAAGTTGGTTATGTATTTCTACCCTGTTTTTTGTGAGAAATGTTTATGGCTGATCTCAGATGTCTGCTAAAGAGAAACAGAAGCCTTTCTCTATTTGATTGAGTAAGATTTCCCAAATTCTCAAGAGTCCTGTTCCTTTGTAGCCCACATCTAAATTACTGTTCATTCCTGAGTTAGTTCCACTGAAACTCTGCTCTTGTTGTCAAACCTTTTAGACCAGGGGTCCTGAACCCTGTGGCCTGTTAGGAACCGAGCTGTATAGCTAGAGTTGAGCAGTGGGCGAGTGAGCAAAGCTTCATCTGTACAGTGTTTGCAGCTGCTCCCCATCACCACCTCAGCTCCATCTCAGATCATCTGGCATTAGGACAGCGAACCCTCCTATAAATTGAAGATATGAGGGATTTAGATTGCATGGTCCTCCCCTACCCCCATTCCCCGCCCATGTCTTCTGTGAAGCCAGTTCCTGGTGCCAAAGGTTTTGAGACCACTGCTTTAAAACAAAATCAGAATCAAAGCAAAACCCAATCCTAGTTTCTGTCCAGAGTTAAACAGATGCATCCAGATTATAACTGGTAAGAAAAACACAGACCACAGAATCACTGTAAGGCTTTAGCTAATGTCATTTGCCTTTCAACCAATTAAAAAATTTTTCCAACATGTTTGCCAAAGTACAAATGTTGTTATCAATTTAAAATTTTAACCTGAAATATGAACAAATTGAAGTATTTGCCTAGGGAGCTATTATATTAATTGCATTTAATTTTATTTAAATATAAAGGGAATGAAATCAAGTGTAGATTTTGTCTGGGCTCATCTATTGCTATTTTGGAATACAGTTCCTGGCATATCACTCAAAGGACATTTCTTGATCTAAAAGTAGATGCACATTTTTAATGTATATAATGCTCATTCTGTTTCATCAAAATAACCATTTCCCTTACAGAAGAAACGGATCCTTATTTGGCAACTATTCTGGCTATCCCATCAGTAAACGTGCCGACTTCGACTTTTCTTTCCTCGGCTTTTTCTTCCGGTGCAGTTCCTGCCACAGGAAAGGCAAAGCCAGGTAAAGAGAAATCAGCCAAATCCTTACCATCTGCCAGAGTGAGTTCCCGTATGACAGTAAACGTATCACCTGAAGAATCTCCAGTTCAAGAAGAGAAAAAGGTATGAATATAATTCATAGAATACAATCATAGGGCAAAGAGGGGGCTTGGAGGTCTTCTAGTCCAACCCCCTGCCCTAGGCAGATGTAGATAAAACACAGAACAGAGTAACAGACTTGGGAGGCACCTTAGAGGTCTTCAACCCCCTGCTCAAGAAGGCGATCTATACCATTCCAGACAAATGGTTGTCCAGGCTCCAGTGATGGAGCACCCACAAGTTCTGAAGGCAAGTTATTTCATTGATTGACTGCTCTCACTGTTAGAAAATTTCTCCTTAGTTTTAAATTGCTTCTCTCCTTGGTTAGTTTCCATTCATTGTTTCTTGTCTTGCCTTTTTGGTGTTTTGGAAAATAGTTTGACTCTCCTCTTCTTTATGGCAGCCTATCAAGTCTCCCCCGTCCTTCTTTTCACTGGACTAGGCAACCCAATTCCTGCAACCATTCATCTTATGTTTTAGTCACCAGTACCCTAATCATCTTTATCGCCCTTCTCTGCACTCTTTCCAGAATCTGAACATCTTTTTTTTATTGTGGTGACCGGAACTGGATGCAGTCTTCCAAGGGTGGTCTTACTAAGGCTTTGTATTAGAACATTGTGTGATCTATCTCTCTGTTAAAGCAGCCTAGGATTGCACTGGCCTTTTTTTCTGCTGCTGCATACATTTGGCTCATATTTAAGTAATTGTCCACTAGGACTCCAAGGTGCCTCTCACAATTACTGGCATTAAGCCAAATTTCACCTAGTCTGTAACCATACGGTTAGTTTTTCTTGCCTACATGTAAAACCTTACTGTTGAATTTCATTTTGTTAGATAGGGCCCAGTGTTAAGTCTATCAAGAACTTTTTGGAATTTGAGTTTGTCTTCTGGGGCGTTGCTCATTCCTGCCAGCTTAGTGTCATCTGAAAATTTGATGAGTTCCCTTTCTATTCCCTCATTTAGATCATTTATGAAAATATTGAAGAGTACTGGGCCTAAAATGGAATCTTGGGGTACCCCACTACTTACTTCCCTCCATGCCAGTTGTTTTCCAAATATATTCTTTCCAGATATCCTGATTAAATATGGAGTCTATGCAGCAAGCAAGATATACTCCCATTGGTATAATAATATGACTGATGATCACAAATTAGGATATTCAGCAAACAGTATATTTTTGGCCTTCTTCAGATTATTAGTCACAGTTCCTTACATCTTTTTCTAACTCCTGTGTACATTTGCCAGGCAGTTTCACTCCTACTTTCATGTAGCTTAGAGAATAGTTAGAAAGAGGGGTGTTACTGTTTCTGTGAACTAATCTTGGGAACCATAGAAGAGTATTGAAGCTCCCAGATAGTGGCAGAGACAGAAATTTAATACCTGCAGAAGCTCAAGAAGAACTTGTTCAGTTTCAGCTTAACATCAGAATCTATAAAAGATATTAGTACTTTAAAAATGACCCAGAATACAAAATTGTATGAGTCCATAGATCATTGCTCTCTGGTAAATAGTTGTACTCTTTCAGTCTAGGAAAAATTAATTCCAGGCTTTACCCTGGGTCTGGGTAATAAGCAAACCCTCTGATCAAATTTTACAACTATATTTGGAGGTTGGGAAATTGGGATCACTGTGTTTGATCTGCAACAGAGAGGAAGAAAACTGGTTTTGAGTTCCTTCCAGGGGTGGGATTTCTACAGGTTCAGACCGTTTCTTTAGAACCAGCTGTTACGATTCCATGCAGTTCGGAGAACCAGCAAATTGTGCCCCTGGCTGGCTCCACCCCACCCTTCTCTGCCCGCCCCCCCCCTCCCCTCCCCTCCCCCAGTCACCCCTTTCCCCCCTCCCGATGATCAGCTGTTCTGATGACCAGCTGTTCTGGGTTCCCCCTCGCTGTCTTACTGCTTCACCCAGAAGGCTTCCCTGAGGCCCAGGAGGCAAAATGGGGTGCACGGAGGGACATGAGGGAGATACTACGTGCCCCACCACGCTCCTTTTTTTTGCCTTCCTGGGCCTCAGAAAAGCCTGACTAGTGGGAGCAAAAACACCCCTCAGGAGGCTTCCCTGAGGCTCAGGAGGCAAAAAAAACAGGGGAGGGGTGCTGCAAAGAAGGAGGAGGAGGAGAATTGCACTGAAGATGATGTTTGATTTTGTTGTAAGTGTAATGACAATAAACTAAACTAAACTAAAGAAGGAAGAAGAAGAAGAAGAAGGAAGAAGAAGAAGAAGAAGAAGAAGAAGAAGAAGAAGAAGAAGAAGAAGAAGAAGAAGAAGAAGAAGAAGAAGAAACAACGCCCATCCAGTCACATGGCCATGTCCACCTAGCCACGCCCACCTAGCCACACCCACCTAGCCATGCCCACAGAACTGGTTGTTAAAAATTTTGAATCCCACCCCTGGTTCATTCCATTAGTCAAGGGAAGCATATAGCTTTTAGTAGACAGATAATTTATTGTTTGATTAGTCTTACAACTGTATCAAATATAAAATGAAAATAAAATACAGGATATAAGTCCAATGCAAAATAAATAAAAGGAGATACAGTGACAAAATACTTATGTGTTAAATACTAAGACTCAATATTCAGGTAAATAACATCACCTTTACAGGGTACCTCTATCTGTTCAATATAACAAGTCCTTTGGTCAACTGTCTTAGTCATAAAGGTAGCAGTTTTGTTCATGATGTATAGATTAGAATCCAGGAGGAAATAAGACAATCTGCAATTCAAATCCCAGTAGGCTTTGAATTTCAAGTAGGGATGTTAAGTATCTAACCCTAAGAGGGGCATATAGTTGACTATCAAACAGAACAAGAACAATATCTTTGATAGCTGAGCATTGCATATACATGTCTTTTCATCATATGGAAGATGGTGGAAGTGCCCATATGTGGCCATGAAATCCAACAATTCAAATCTGGCTCTAGTATAGGCCGTTCTTGAAAATTAGGTCACACTCAGAAATAATTTTTGGCAGAAATTATTCAAATTGAAAAATAATTTTGTTCTTCGCCAACCAACTTAAAGATCTATTTGTTGCCAATAACTCCTTGTCAGTTTGAGTGCTAATATCTAGAATTAAATAAATAAAATTGCTAACCACAAGTGTATATTAACTTTTTGAGCTTTCTTTGCTCTCTACTAACTACAGAATGAGTAAACAAAAATCAGATTTTCCTACCCAGAATTCCCAGTGACTGAGGAAGCAGGCGTTTTTAAGAAACATGTTGTGGGGAAAACAAAAAGAGGAAGATATATTGGATATGTCCCCCCCTTGAGTTATTTGTAAAAATAATAAAAAGTGGGATACAAATAAATAAATATAAATAAGCTGGAAATGGTCTGTGCTTTGCAGCCAAGCAACCATACCAAGTTACAGTAAATACTTTTTTAAAAAAATACTTAGATACTATGGCAAGCAATTTGTTACGCACAAAATCTAAAACCAATAGAAAATAATTCTAAAAATACTTAATTACCTTTGCTAATGCTAAAATTAAATTAACACTTGGCAAAAACTTTCCAAGGAGATTTTATGTACTAGTGCACTATTTTATTAATCATTAAAACTATTAACCACTGTGGAGAGCTGAAATGTTTGTAAATGTTTTTAAATACATTAGCATTTTCTGCTTCTTTTGCATACTGTAGACAGAAAGAAATGAGCCAATCCAAACCCAAGCTGTTCCTGAAACCCGTGTTTTCAATACTTTGAATGTGTCTTCTCCCAACGGATTGGTAGTTACCTTTATTGGTCAAAAATTCTCAGGTTAGTTGTATAAACGTTTTTTTACAAAAGCAGTTGTGCTGTTAATGTTAGGTAATGTTAGGGTTAGATAATAAAAGCTCTTATGTTACATCTTGAGTACGGAAAGCTTTTTAGTCCACACAAAAAGAAACAACACTATTAGCTTTAGTGACTAAAATATCCTTTAGTAAGCAAATTGATGGCAAGCAGGAAATATAGTAAACTTATGATGTACCGGGATCTACTCAGTTTTTAGTTTTTAGTTCAACTGTGTGGGAATGGTGACATATTTTTAGTTCAACTATGTGGGGATGGTGAAATATTTTCTATTAAAGTACTTTCTCTGAAAGTACCCCAATTCAGCTAGAATGAATTTACAGCTAAAGATACCTGAATCAGGAAAAAGAACACATTTTATTTTCTAAATCAGAATTCTGGTTTGGGACAGTTTTCTCTGCAATTAAAAAAAATCACATCCATTTTATTTTTACAGCATATACACATCCCATAGTTTACATAATTGTGCAACTACTCAAGGAACTTTTCAAAAATGTGAAGCACTTTTTCAATCTTCGATGCATCAATTTTCCTGATGCTGGCTTTTAAATGAAGATTTCATCCATGTAAACTTACTTCGAAATATAACTAAGACTTTCAGTAAAAAACTATTTCTGAGATACTTCTTTATATTGCAGATTTAAGATTGAGAATTGTTGCGTAGTAGTTGGACTTCATTTGATACTAGCATTCCTGTTACTGAAAAGACTTGAGGTTGATTTTACTATGGTGACATTCTGTTCAATTTATGGTAACAAATAGAGTTAATGGCACTAATGGTAAAATATTAATTTGCAGGATTAAAATAGATATGAATAGAGCATTTGTAGTGTTAACATTTAAAACATTTGAACTACTGCCTTTACTCTCTGACTGACCTTTCATACCATGAGGTATAAGCATCCATTTGGGTCAATATTTGTATGTTCTTACTGGGTTTCCAGGTTTAACTTTTTATAACATCAGTAAGATCCACAAGTTTCCATATACTACTGATATTGTAATCTTTGTAACTGACTAACAAAATGGTTTTGATATGTAAAAGGTGAGGAAAAAGGAGAGAAAGACAAGAGCGATGATGAAGAAAGCAAAACAGATGAGACTAAATCAGGTGATGTCAAGCTGGAAGAAATCAAAACAGAGTACAGCAAAGAAAAGCAGACTCAACACGAGCCCCTAGCTAAAGACAATGGAAACAAGACAATCAATGCCACAGCCAGTGTTGAATCTGGAGCAGTTTTTACCATCAGGAATGAGACTGCCAGGGACAGCAAGTCTAAGATGGAAACAGAGGATAACTATATGGACGAGGAATCTCCTTTTGAAATATTTATTAGGCAGAGCTATCCACAAAAAGTAAAACAGTCACAACTTCATAAAACAGTGAAGAAACCAATAGAGCAAGAAGTATCCAGAGTAATAACACGACAAGGGACTGTTGTAAAGTATATGATAGATGGATCCACTCAGGTATGTTCATTTAGCATGAATTGTAAATTCACTTTTTGTTACTGAGTTAAATTCTGATTGAATCATAAAACCTTAATTAAATAGACTTTACCACAAATAATGATAAGGTATTACCTATGTATGAATATATATCCTTACATGGTATGTTTTTTTCTGTATTAATTAGTTTTCTCTTAGCCTAGATGCATACGGAGAAGCCACTGTGCTTTGCTAATGTTTCCAAATGGTTTCAGTCATTTTTCAGTAGGAAATGTGGCCACTGAGGAAGTTTAATTGTTGAGTAGAGATTTAACAGAATAACAGAGTTGGAAGGGACCTATTGATGAAATCTATAGAACTGATTCATCCAAATGTAAATTTAAGTCTGTAGAAATGTTTAACCCAAATATAAAACTTACCTGAGTTTTTTACATGTTTTGGTCATTTTTTAATCTGAACCTAGTATTGTGTTGCTGTACTGCATATATTTGTAGCTGATTAACATCACATTTTGCTTTGCTGTTTTTAAGATACTCTTTGCTGATGGCACAGTGATTAGGAGTCCAGATTCTGGCCCTGTGATCCCACCTCCACCTGCACCCAGCACACCTCATACAGAGATCACACCCACTCCGGAGACAACCATCAAAAAAAGCAGTAAGTCACATAGTTCAGGACTGAGGAAGAAGTTGAAGTTGAAGAAGTCAAACAAACAAATTAATAAATGTTATCAGGTAAAATAATATAATGTTGCATAATTATAGCACTTTATGTAATATATTACATCACATTGTTCTGTAGGATAGGCTATGCAATCCATAATGCTAAGAACCATGTTCAATATTTGTGCCTCTATAAAAATAATGTCACATATTCTCAAACAGCAGTAAGATGCATTTATCCAATATTATTCTTCCCCAAGAAATAGTCTGACATCTGAAAGGCTAAAAATAAAATCCCAGATCCCTTAAGAAACCTTGGAAACAAATATCTGCTTAAAAGTCCATCTTCAGTCTGGAAGTCAAAAACTTCGAGATCAGAATCTAAATTGTCTGTGAAAAATTATTATTATTTTGCTCTTGATCTATCATGGAGCCATAGGATTCCATGGAGCTGAAAATATCTGGTTATGATTTTTCTTGCAAAAATTTTTTGTGTCTGTATCCTTGTCTTTATGACTAGGTAGGTTTAATGAAAAACAGTTCTGTCTTTTGACAATCAAAGAGTAGCAATGAAGGAGTAAGACTTCTAATGTCCACATTTTGTGGTTAGATAGTTAATTGGAAAAATACATGCTGGCACTTTAGCTGTCCTTCACATAATGAAGTACTTAGAATGTTATCCCAGTGTATGAATAAATCTCATTTTCTCCTGATTTTCTAGGAAAAAATACTAAAGGTTTGCTTGCAGGAAAAAATGAAACTATTGAAACAATTGCTGAAGAACCTGTGCCTGAACCTGAACAATCTACTGATGCCTTTGCTGGCACTTGGATAACAACTACCCCATTAGGCATTCAGATAGGTACCAAGGGAACCGAAAAGCTTGATCTGAAACCACTCCTGTCTTACCAGGCCACTGATCCAGTTAATGGAACGGTACTATTTGATGCCTTTATAAATGATACAATCCATTTTTAGAAAATAAAAAATCAAATGCATATTTCCAATGTTTGTATTAAAGCATTCTGACCTGTTTGCTGAGCATTTAATCCATTTGTAATATTTCATTAATAAATTGATATTCTAGATAATGCTAATGAGAGAAGATAAAGTATTAATGGTGGAGAAAACAGATGGATCCCGAATAGTAGATCATGCTGATGGCACCAGAATAAGCACCCTCTTCCAGGACTGTGTAGAAATTGTTTCTTCTAGTGAGAGCGAAGAAGCAGGTATCATTGCTAGTTAGTAATACATCAATGTGGGAGAGGTGGTTGATAATTTCAAATACTTGTGGATTTAATTTTTCATTACTTTATTATTATATTTCTAAAAATATGAGTTTAATCACATTTCAGTGATTGTGCAGTTAGTTCATTTCTTTATATAGATTCTTCATCTAAAATTGAGACTATATCTATGATTGGTCAACAAGAAAAATTCCCGGCTTTTCACTTATTCTTGCAGTATGATGCATAAATAAATCACATGGAGAGCTACAGCTATTACAGTTCTTCATAGCTACTTTCTTCATATTATGCTGTTGCCAAATATTTATGATGATCAGATTCTCCAATTTATTTGCAACATGCAGAACCTAATGGTGGGCAAAAAACTTCCTGTTTGTTTTCCTCCTATAAATACAGAACAAAATAAAGGAAAAACATACAAAAATGAAATATACTATAAAACAATAAAATATTATGCCATATTTTGAACAACAGATTAAACTTTTACCACATGGAATCACATTTGACACTTTCCATTTTGCATTTATAAAGAACCACATGAAGGCTGAAAATGAATACACTTCTTCAATTTAGAATTTTTATATGTTCTGTTTTTTTTATTCATACATTATGTATTCTCCACAATGCTCAAACTTGATATATCCATGATTCATAAATTGTCAGATACCAAATAATTTACATATATGATTGCACACAAGGTTCATATCTTTAAAATGTAGTTCTCTTCTCAATACCTTATGGATACAAATACTAAACAAGAAAGAGACAAACAAAGTATAGGTCCAAATAATATATATTAAAGTTCAGGGAATTCTAATTATTTTTTTCTTTCATATTGTATATCCAATGATCCAATCCTATATATAGTAAATAATAAGAAAGATTGTTGTAACCATATATCATAACACAGGAATGCCATAAAATAAAATAAAATAAAATAACAATAAAAGTATAAAACTATACAATAGAATAACATAAGTCTTAGATGTAAAAAGCTTACAATGAAATAAAGCCAAAAGTTACAACTATGAACTTAAATTTAAATGACAGTAGAGCAGAAGTAGCTACTTGTTTGCTGACAGGTGGAAGCACATTTACAAGGAGATAATTCAGTTTTTCAAGGTCAGAGCCCTTGAATTCATTTACCATTTGATCCTGATCCCATTGTAAATAGGCTATGGAAACTATGATAGATAATGTCCTACACTTGACCAGCACTAAAAGGACAGAGGAGTTGCTCGACAGGGAGCTTACAAAAACTTCCTTCAAGATATGTGAGGGCATGGTCTACAGATGAAGGGATGCTAACATTTTTCTCAATGAAACATGTTGACAGGGTACTGTTTTTATAATGATAAAATCAAGGTTAAAATGTACAGTGGCATCTTTATTAGCATTCTTTTCAAAAAGCCATCTTTAATATTTTCTCTGTTCTAAGATCTAAGTTCTCTTAATGGTGGTAAAAATACATTTGTAGAATAGATAACAAAAATTCTAAATATATGTTTTAAAATTATCCCAAGCAATCATAAAATTTGGTGATTGCCTGTTTCTATTTTTAAAACTGCAGACTCCATATCTCCCCAGCCATCTGGCCACCCTCACAGCAGCAGCAGCAGCAGCCCCCCTGCCCCCCCACACCCACTATGCTCAGGCTGCACCTCCTCAGCCACCTATGCATATACTCTTATTCCCATTGTTAACAAGTTGAACAAATGAGAAGTTCTCCAAAAACATTATTTCATCACAATATTTCTCTCCAAACGATGGACTCCAATAATTCTTGATCATTTGAATTATAGTCCAAAGAGGGATAAGATTTTTGAGATAAAACTTTTGTCTTCTTCCACAAACATACATTCTTTGATATTGATAAATGCTTTTTTAACATGAGTTGGTTTTTCTTTCATAGACAGTTACTCTCAAACTATCACAAGGAAGGTGAAATGCATGCGTATTGAAAACCCACACTTTGCAACAGTCCTAACAAACTCTGAGGACAGCACTTGTTGTGCCATTTTTGCTGATGGCACTTCAATTATATCCAAGCCACAAGGAACATACCAGGTTAGTTGAAAATTAAGATCTGTTGGGCTTCAAACTCCTTTTATTTCAATGTTCTATTTATTTCAGTGCTTCCAATTTAGATAAACCAAACTAACCATTGCTACACAAAGCAATTAATATGCAGCTTTTGAAACTAATGCTGGTGAAATGATTACTCTAGAAGTGGAAAAGCACACATACAAAAAGAGTGACAATTATACCAAATAAGTAATCACTCCTTACTGCAGTCAGGCTTCCTAGGGTGCCTTATAGATATACTCCTCTTATAATACAAGATTTCTTTTTAAATGCCATACAAGGCGGAGGTACAATAGCCTCCAACACAGTCTTTATTTGCAAGAATGCTTTGAAGACAGCTAGAAGGAATATCTAATGGATATTTATATTGTATCGGTATAGTGTATTTAAATGGAAGTTTTTCCTTCTTTTCATTTTAGCTGACTTGTGTGTTTTTGCGTGTATGTTTTGCCAGTGGTTTTGTTTTGACCTGGTATATGTTTTGTTTGCTTATTCTTGTGTAGTATGGTGAATCTTTCTCTGAGTTTCACCAGTTTCCTGCTGTGAGTTAGGTTTTTTTTTTAATTTGGTACTTAATATCTTGATGACATTACTTTTTTCTGAACCTCATACATTTGAAGCAGATGCATAAAAGTAAGTACAAACTAATAGTTTTGCATGGTAAAACTCAGATGCCATAATCCTGTTCACCATAAATTCACAGATTCCTTATATTTCTTTTAGGCTTACTAGTGCACCTTTTTAAAAAATGATATTTGGTGACTAAGGGCGCACATCCTTGTAATAGTTCTATCACACATCCATAATATTCTTTTGAATATTATGCACTCTGGAACGAGTGCAAAAAAGAGCAACAAAGATGATTAAGGGCAGTGGTGGGATTCAACAATTTTTACTACTGGTTCTGTGGGCATGGTTTGGAGGGCATGGCAGGGGACGGTTACTGCAAAATCTCCATTCCCGGTCCTGGGGGGGGGAGGGGTTATTGCAAAACCCCATTTCCTCCCCACCCCACTAACCTGCTTTCCAGCTTCATTCTCCTGTGCAGGGCAACAAAAGAAAACCTAGCCAATCAGCTGGGACTTGGGAGGCAGAGAATAGATGGTGGTGGGGCCAGTCAGGTGGCATTTGCCAGTTCTCTGAACTATTCAAAATTTCTGCTACCAGTTCTCCAGAACCGGTCAGAACCTGCTGAATACCACCTCTGATTAAGGGACTGGAAACTAAAACAAATGAAGAACGGTTGCAGAATTTGGGTATGTCTAGTTTAATGAAAAGAAGGATTAGGGGTGGCATGATAGAAGTGTTCCAATATCTGAGGGGCTGCCACAAGTAAAAGTGAGTCAACCTATTCTCCAAAGCACCTGAAAGCAGGACAAGACACAATGGATGGAAATGAATCAAGGAGAGAAACAACCTACAACTAAGGAGAAATTTACTGTCAGAACAATTAATCAGTGGAATGTCTTGCCAAGAGAAGATGTGGGTACTTTATCGCTGGAGGCTTTTAAGAAGAGACTGGACAGCCACTTGTCTGAAATGACGAAGGGTTTCTTATTTGAGCAGACCTCCAAGGTCCCTTCCAACTCTGTTATTCTGTTATTCCGTACATTGCAAATTTGCTCACTAGTTACAAATATTAAAGACCTCTAAAGCATTAAAGTCTGAGTTATGTTTTCTGAATGTCTTCCTTTATTATTGTGGTAGATTTTACCCGTAAACAAAGGTTCCCTCTTCATCGATGAAAATTACTCTGCAGTTTACTCGCCAGAGGCATTTGAAAAAAATGATAGTGAACTGATATCCAGTGATGAGAACCAGCATCTAGGGAAATACATTATGAAACACAATTCCAAGATTGTCTGTGAGATGACAGACATCACAGGAAATATTTTCAAGGTAAAACGGAAATATTAATGCTCAAATTATTTATTGCTTTTTTTCTATGTAATTTGTTTTTAAAATTCTTAATAGGTTAACTATAAATTGTGATATATTTAAAAATGCTTAATTTGAATATCATGCAAATGAGTATTTTTTTCTTAAGGATACACCTTGCTCCTGTATAATCAAAAGTTCATTTCCCCTAGGCCATAATTGATATTTCATCAATTTATGAATCTGAAATATAGACAATTAATATACCCAGGCCAAAATTACTTGAGATAATCTCATTCCAGAAATTTCAGAATTGATTTATTGTACTCTGCACTGGCAGCTTGATTTCTTTTTTTTAAAAAAATATAATTTTAGTATTATCTATTAGCACTGGAGGAACATTGGAAAGAAACAACTTTTTGCATCTCCCCCCACTCAGCAACAGCCACATACCTCTTTGCCAACTATTTGTGAGCTGGTTCTGGCAACTAATTCCACATCAGATACAAAATTGACTGATTAGGGCTTTGTCTCATTCTCCAACTCTTATTAATTTTCTTCTCTGGATAGTATGCAGAACTTGGGAAAGGATAATTAAGAAAAAGTATTTCTTTTGTTTTGCAGGTCATGGCTGATGGTAGCACATCTACATTCATTCCTTCTGTTGATGTTGAAAGCAAAGTAATTGAACCAACAGAAATTCAGACTCCTGTGATATATGGGGAACATGCACCCAGGTATGTTGTGCAAAAATGCTATGGGCTTAATTGTATTTGTCAGATAGTTTGTATGGATGTTTTAAATTGCTTTGCATAATTGAATTGATCTCATTTGTGGGACTGATGATCTAGATTCTTCATTGTCCATGCGGATGGCTCAGGAACTGAACTCCTCCGCACAAAAGATACAGAAGAATATCTGTCAATAGCATACGGTCACCCTACCATAACTGTTCTTCGGGAGGCAGTACAAGAATGCCCAGGTAGGAGTTTCACAGAGATGTCTCTTATTTCTCTGAGATTAATTTCAGAATTTGATTTTGGCATGTGAATAAGCAAACCTTAAAGCAGGGTTTCTTTGAATAGACACAGATGAAGTTTTGTTGTAAATGTATATATGCATTTAAGAACAATTCATGTGCTAGTTTCAAAATTACTTTTAGCATTTTTATTAAATGTTCCAATTTGCTATACAGTGTATATTAGTAATACTTAGTGCAGCTATAGGAGATGACTAGGCTGAGCCTGAGGAAAAAGTCTTGAGTCTCTTTGGGCTCACAAGAGATCTAAGTCCAGTCCACCATTAATTTGCTTTGGCTGTTAATAGTTCAGATTCTTGTTGAGAGCTTGGCAATAAATCCTTATATTCATTTGAACTGTCTGGGTTTTCTGATTTCCAAGCTTGACAATAACATTTCCATGTTTAAGTTGAACTCTTTGGGACTGAAATTAGTTTTAGCAAGACTTTGTAATCCTTCACCTTTATGTTACATTATTTTCAAATATTGTTTTTTAATATTACAGAAATATATGCTGTGGTTGCTATGGTTATATGAGTATTTTGAAAAATTTCTGAAATGTAATTATGGATATTTGACACTTTTCTATGAGTCTTCTATTTGTTTTAGGTGATGTTTAGAAAAATAAAACTACAAATATTTTTGCACCATATGCATTTTGTAGCACAGAATACTATCCAACTAGTTTTAATACCAGATAGTATTAAAATCTAGTTTACAACCATTCTTTTCCATACTATGTATTTTTTAAGGCTTGAAAAGGGTGGAGTGGTACTGAAAAACTATTGAGTTTCTGAACTGGGAGCACATATTGATCTTGAGTTTAAAACTTATTTATATTATTTATTTTTATTAATAAGGAGAAGTAGCCTCGTTCAAATATTCCACAGTACAAGCAGCTATCTGAATATTTTTGTATTCCCAAATTTTCTCTCATCTTTCAAAACAGGAATCCTAAGCATTACTGTTCTTTGCCCTTTGACTGAAGTATCTCAATGGATAATGAAAAAAGACTCTGACACTATTGTTCCTTATAATCTCCAGTCCAGAGATTGGGAAAACTTTCCTCCTGTTGAGGTAAATAGATTTCACGCCTGTTTCTTTAAATATTTAACTATGATGTGACACTTTTGATCTTTTAAGTGACACTACATTTTCTTTTCACTTTTGGTCTTTTAAGCCCTGTTTCCAGTTGCACCTGTAGGGATATGTCTGTCTGCATGATAGCGAGTGTGATATTTTGATCTGAGTGTTTCACCTTTTGTGTATATGTTGACATCATATGCATGCACATAAAGGATGAAGATTGTACTATGATATCCCACTCCATCATCTTTTAGATTGTCACCATATCCATGGATGCTTCTGCCAATTTCATTGGCATCAGGTTGGCTAAGAAGCTTAATAAGTTAAATAAACAAAGTATTAGTTTCTGACAAATTCAGAATTTTAATCACATTCTAATTTACAAGAACAAAGAAAAAATCATAGAAATATGCAGCGATTTGTTTTCTTTCATTTCATTAGTAATGCAATTGCATATAAGAGAAAGAAGAAAACAAGAAGAATACAGTCCTTCTTCTTAGTGGTATCTGATTCTTTATTTATCTTCCAAGAACCATTGCTTACATTTATTTTTGAGCTATTTATAAAACACATTTTAATGTATTCGTGATTACAACATCATATAACAATCTTGGTCTCGAAAGCAGTACAGGTTGTCCTTGCATACGAACCACTTGTTCACTGACTGTTCAAATTTACAATGATGCTGAAAATGGAGAAATACAACCAGTCCTCAAAGTTGTGGCAACCGCATTGTCACATGAGCACTATTGCTATTGATCTAAGTGCTATAGCTATTGATCATCATTTGTAACCTTAACAGCTAGCTTTCATTAAGCAAAGAAAGCATGCAAGAAGTCATAAGTTGTGGTCACATGGCGTTGCAAATTGCAAACTGTGGTGCTTCACTTAACTATCACAACTGGAACTGCCATCGGTATAGTCACAGGATATCATGCTTAATTATTGTGCCACTTAGCAATAAATTTGCCGATCGCATTATTGCAGTAGGTGAGGACTGGTTGTAATTTCAGTTTTCTAAATTTACTTACATTGAAATATCATTCCTGTTCTGTAAGTAGCAAGCATTCCTGTCTCTGGCTGACATTTGATTTGATCATATGCAGTTACTGAACATTTTATGTAGAAGTAAATCAGAGGTGGGATTCTAATAATTTAACAACCAGTTCTCTGCCCTAATGATTTCTTCCACCAACCAGTTCACCAAACTGCTCAGAAACTTAACAACCGGTTCTCCCAAAGTGGTGGGAACTGGCTGAATCCCACCACTGAAGAAAGTTCAATAGAATTATCCCTCTCTTTTTTCCTTTGTCATCTGGATTCAGAGAAAGACTCCTGGCCCTCCATTTGGAATGCATGCATGGAAAGGCCTATGCATTGAGTTCAAAGAATTAGCAGTTTCTCCTGCACCTATAAAAAAATGTCCAAATGTTCTCCAAATTCGTCGCCTAATCCAGTATGAGCCAGTCAGTGATGAATTAAGATACAAATTGCAATCTTCTGTCAAGGTAAAGTGAAGTTCGCCAATATGTAAATAGGTGACTCATGTATCCCTTAAAAATAAGTAATGATTTGTTTTTGTGAGTAAAGGAAGAAACTACTGATATTTAAACCATAATGTATGTGAAAGGGTGAAAGGTGGGAAGAATGCCAGATTAATGTAAGGAGCTGGAGTCAGGTGAACAGAACAAAGGAAGGCAGCTTTGGTGTGTGACAATAGGGCAAATGGAAGATGGGGTGGAATTTGCTGAAATATCACAACAGACATGAGCATATATTTGGGAAAGATAGTAAGATTTAGGCATGGCTAAAAGTGTGTGTAGATATTCTAAAAATTCAACATAATTTCTTTGTTTTCTCATATATTTATTTCCTCTATTAGCAGAATAGAATTTGTGCTTATGGCTTTGGAGGTATTGGTTCACCATAAAAATCAAGCATTGATTTTTGAACACTCACATTATTCTGGAAGGATGCAGAAATACAAAATTTGTATTTAAAAGATGTTCAAAACTCTAAAATGCCTTGTGATTTTTCTACCCAAACAATTTTGACAACAAACTGTTATAATGTAGTTGAGAGTAAGTGAGACATGAAATATGAAGAAAAACAAGAAGGTATAAAAAGAGAGATGGTCAATTCACAGCAGATCATATTAATTGTCTCTGCTCACCCAAATAGATCTGGCAAAAGGAACATGCTTCAGGACCATGAATGAAAATACAACTTTAGATATTACTAGTGTGTGATATTTCCCTTCATATAGTTATCAACTTGATAGACATCTTGTAGTAACTTCCTCAATTAACACTATTATAAAATTCAGTCAAATTTGGCAAGGTTATTGAAATGAACCTTCATTTACTTAATATTAGTTTTCATATCTACTATTAGTTACACTGATAAAATATGCTTACTCAAAAGTAGCTGTCTCTGGGAAATTTAGTTCAGTGGAAATTATCCTTAGGGAGCTGTACAAAGAATCAAATTAGAGAATTCAAGGCTTGGGGAACACACACACACACCCCTTGGAAAGGTAATGAAATATATATATTTTAAATAATATATAAGCTAGTTAATATGTGAAAATTTGGTCTGTACTTACAAATCTATTTAAAGAAATGTATTAACAGGAATTGATCAAGTATCATGTCTTATTTATTACATTGTTAGGAATACATTGACAAAATCATTAAGCAAGAAGATGAGATGGAAGAAAGAATGATTAAAGAACCAAGAACAGAACAGGAAAAGAAAAATGCAGCAGACCTTCTCAAGCTGGTTATGGTGAGAAATGTGCTTCTTTCCTTGTGACTTTTTTACAGTTCCAGTTGGGGTGAAAGTGAAAACTACTGCAGACAGGCAACACATGGCTTCTGTCCCACAACACTGTTTGCTCCCACCCCCCAAGGGTTATTGAAACTTGATGGACGAATGCAAATGGCATGATTTGGGTGGAATGTTTTAAACCCGAATCAGAAATTTCTGTTTCAGATGTGAAACAGATGATTTGTTACCAATAACAGAGAATATTTGTAGCTCAGGGTTAAAATAAGCTATTTTTGGTGCTCTCTGAGCTTGGTTGTTTTGTTGTAGATGTTTCATTACCCAAACTAGGTAACAACATGAGTGCAGATTATTTGTTCGATCACTGGAAAGTTTTGCAATACTTTCAATAAGTGGATGCAGATTTTCATGCCCAATGTCAACCCAGTGACAATGAGTGCTTTCATTTCTGAAGATGCCAGTGAGAGTTGCTGGTGAAACATCAGGAAACCAAATAATTAGACCAAGGCTTATTGGGCCAGAAACTGCCCAGAAATAAGCCCATTGGACTTTCAGTCAGGTTTCTATCTTTTTGAAATAGTACTTCAGAGTTTGAAGCATATTATTTTGAAGCCAGATTTTTTTTAACAGAAAACCTTTTCATAATCCCACTGTCAACTATTTAAATCCTCCAAAGCCAACTTCTCACCATAAGAAAAAAATCTGTCCAGCCTCTTCTAGTAAAATGGAAGCCTTCTGCTGTTGAATTTTAGCTCCTTACTAATTCTTAAATAATTTAAATTATCTAGGTTTATGCACTTATACAAAAAAAGAACAACTATAACAACCATATTATTGTTACAGCAGTAGTTAGCTCATTCTGAAGTCTTGTGTATAATTATAAACTATGATTTGTTATTTTCTTAATTACTTTGTTGTAACAAACCATAGTTTATAATTATACCCGAACTACTGAATTATGCCTTGCTTGATTCTGATTTTTCATTCTAGTTCTAAGTACATAGTACAAAAAGTTTAAAAAAATTCTAATCATAGATTAATATTCTTTTAAAATTAAATACAAATTACGTGCATATTGATGCTGGCTTTTTATACTAGGCATCTTTAAATTATGAGTTTCTATGTCAGAGAATTGCAGTTTGCAGAGTCAGCATATTGCCCCCAATAATTTGGGTCCTCATTTTACCAACCTCGGAAGGATGGAAGACTGAGTCAACCTTGAGCCTGGTGAGATTTGAACTGCCAAATTGCAGTCGATCAGCAGAAGTAGCCTGCAGGACTGTACTCTAACCACTGCGCCACCATGGTTCATAATAACTTCTTTATTTCTCAACACCATTCTAAAATTACAGATTACACTAATATTTCAGAGTTTCCATCCTTCCAATTTAAGATTAAGATAGTATCATCATCATCATCATCAGGTAATAATAATAACAGCTCTTCTTATGGAACTGGTATTTTTATATGGTGAATACTGCAGAAGTATTCAACTGCCTTAAATGTTTCATGAGTACAAAGAAAGGTATACTCAAAGAAATACATAATAATGAACAAATAAAATGTTCTTATGCGTGGGGGAAGTGGGAATGCTTTTGTGAAACTGATATACAAATAAGACAAAATTCAAAAGGAAATACATAATTGTTTTTATGGAATTGTTTTTATGTTCCTTTTTTAAGCTTTCTGTGTGTTTTTTTAAGGCAAGTTACATGAAGATGTAAATTATAAACATGTTGTAGCAAAAGTTCAGAGGAAAAGTCGCAAAGAATGAAATTAAATAAAAACCAGCGTGTTCAATTGTCAATGAAATCACAAAAAGTGCAATAGGGCAGTTAATGGATGCTAAATGTAGTAAGAAACTTACTAGTGACATTTAATGATTAAACAGAAATTTAATCTTCCAAGCAAATGTATGTTCCATAGATTTAAATAAATCTTTTAATGTTTTTGTTCCTTGGACTAGCACAAAGCCCCGAGCAGTCTTATTATATGGTGCTTCAGTATCCTTCAGCTAGGCAAAATTTGAGACCTTCATAAAATCATTTGCTATGATAAATTACATCCTCTTAATGCTTCCAAAATCTCCCAAACCTGGGACTTTTCATCTATGGAAATTTCAGGAAGAAATATAACACTTTTTGTGGATACTGTTATAGTACTATGAGTTTATTGCCCTATGAATCTTTATAGACTTTGGGGAGGATTCAGACTATTGTTCCATTGTTGTTCCTATGCAAAATAAGGAGGAGGAAAATAAACACTTGAATCTACGTCCAACACTTCAGGAGATTGCATTAGTTTTTATTCACTTCACATTTCACTGATGCTGTATCCTACCCCTGGAGAAAGAAAGATTCATTTTAAAAAATTAAAAGCCAAGGTAACTATAGGTGACGTTACATTTTCTTTAACTGAAGATTTAATATTGCACAATTACCTTGCTTCATTTTTACAAAAGAGAAGCATAACATTATACAGTGATCTATCAATCATGTCAATTTTGAGTTCATTTTTGCCTATTTTTATGTTGCGTTGATTAACTGCAGTGCTTCCCATATTTTCATCTGGATGTCTTAGAATTGTTTCTATCTATCATGTTTCTATCTATCTATCTATGATGCTTCCAGATGATCTTCTATTCATCCAGCTCCATTTATAGAATTTGGAGGGGTGGGAGCAGCTGTTGATTGATTGATTGACTGAGATTAGTGCATTATGTGTAAATCCACAGTATCTTAAGTTATTTCCACCAAAAAACTGGAATTTATCTTGGAGGAGATAAACAACAATCAGATGACTTGAATTGTAAAAAATTGGGTAATATAGTCAATTTGCACTCACATTCTATGCTTAGCTGAAGGCTTAGAAATCCCTTAGAAATCTTGGTTGAACATGTTCTAATGACTCTATGCACTTATTTATAATGACTTATAATAACTCTATATCCTTATATATTGCATGCATTTAGAAGCCATAAGATAACTTCATTATTGACCTCAAAAACTTTTAGTCTACTCGGTACATACCTCTTTTTTTAATGGAAAAGCCTTAAAATGGCAGCTATTGTACTTCTTAGAACTGTCTCTTTTGATTATTGACATTGAGCCCTAAAAGTGCCTGTAGTATGGAAATATTTCATTGCAAGATATTTAAAAGTTTTAATTTATTCAATTACAGTATCATTATTTTGCCATCCTAAGTCTGTATTCTGAGGATCCTTTTGAAAAGGCCATATTTCTTGTTTTTTGATAGTTAATAACCAGGACATTATCAATAGGACTCATATGCCCTTCATGTTTAGGTAATCACTTATTATCTGCATATAAAAATAATGCAGTAGGTTTACTGCCCAGATCTGTGATGGCAAATTTTGTGAGTTTTATTTATTTTTATTTATGTTCTGACCTAGGCATCCCCCAACAGCACGAAACCAAGTTCTCGTCCCAATAAATCCCTTTTATTTGATTTACAATGAATTTCCTCTCCAACAAAGTCCCGGCCAATAGTCTTTCAGGATAGTTCCCAATTACAAACCTTTATCAGGCTTGGAGAGGGGCCAGGCCTATATCTTTCAGATATACTTGGCAAGCATGCTGGAATGAACTAATTGTTTCCTGCAAAGTCCCACTCCCCTTTCACTCCTCTTTTATACTCTAGGGGAGGGGCCATTCACCGTCCACCTGTGGCTTTATTCCCAAGATGGCCCTTGTTCCTCAGCTGTTCCCTTACAGATTACAGATTAACAGAGTTGGAAGGGACCTTGTAGGTCATCTAGTCCAACCCCCCTGCCCAAGCAGAAGACAGTATACCATTTCTGACTAAATGACAATCCAATCTCTTCTTAAAAGTCTTAAGTGATGGCACTCCCACAACTTCCAAAGGCAAGCTGTTCAGTTGGTTGATTGTTCTCACTGTCAGAAAATTTCTTCTTATTTCCATGTTAAACCTCTCCTTGTTCAGTTTCCATCCATTATTCCTTGTCTGGCCTTTGGGTGCTTTAAAAAATAGCTTGACCCCTTCCTCTCTGTGGCAGCCCTCAAATATTGGAAGACTGCTATCATGGCTCCCCGGGTCCTTCTCTTCACTCGACTAGCCATGCCCAGTTCCTGTAACCATTCTTCATATGCCTTAGTCTCCAGTTCCCTGGTTGCTCTTCTCTGTACTTTTTCTAGAGTCTCAATATATTTTTATAACCCTATTTGATTTCTAATTTGGTGCAGAATTAGTTTTCCAATTGATATCAGGGTAATTGAAGTTCCCCATTACTATTGTAATGTTTTTCCCACATATATTAGTTAGTTGGTTGGCAAAAGGGACATCTATTTTTTTCTATTTGATTGGGTGGCCTACACCTATTGCCATGTCATTCTTTTTTTCTTTTATATTGACCCATATACATTCTAGAAGGTTTTCGTCTTTGGTTTCATGCATTTCTGTAGCAATATAGTGGTCCTTTACATACAATGCAACTCCACCTCCTCTTTTATGGGGTCTGGATTTTTTTGAACAGTTTGTATCCTTCTGTCAGTATGTTCCAGTCATGGATTTCATCCCACCAAGTTTCTGTTTTTTCAACTATATCATATCTGCCTTCATGTATTAGTAGTTCAAATTCACCCTGTTTGTTCCCCAGACTTTGCATTTGTACATAGGCACTTGAGATCTTTATGTCTGATGCTTCCTATGTCTCTTATTTGGTGTTTGAGTTTGTCTTCCTTCCCATCCCTCTTTCATTATTTGAGTTGCTTTCTAGGTGTTTTTGCTTGGAATTAGGTCCTGGAGAGCCTAAAGATTGGTCACCCTCCCCCCTCAATTTTAGTTTAAAGCCCTCCTGATAAGTTGAGCCAGTTTTCTGAAAACATTCTTCCCAATCTTTGTGAGGTGCAACCCATCTCTTGCCAGAAGCCCATCATGGAGATAGTACAGACCATGGTCGAGGAATCCAAAGGTTTTTTTGGCAACACCAACCCTTTAGCAAGTGATTCACTTCTAGAATTCTTTGTTCTCTTACTGGATGTTGTCCTTTCGTTGGCAGGACAGATGAAAAAAACTACTTGTGCACCTAAGTCCCTGACTTTCTTGCCTAGCTGCTTATAATCATTTAATATTGTTTTCAAGTCCTTTTTGGTGTAATTTTTCCCTACATGTAGTAATAGAAAGGGGTAGTAGCCCATGGGTTTTATTATTTTGGTTAGGTTTTCAGCCACATCTTTGATTTTAGCTCCAGGGAGACAACATACCTCTCTGGATAGATTGTCTGTTCTACAGATGGCAGTTCTGTTCCCTTGAGAATTGAATCTCCTATCACCAGCACTTGTCTTTTTTTTCCTAGGGAGTTTTGGGGTGTTTTTCTATTTGTCACAAAGCATTTGATTGTATTACTTTTTAAGGGACATTTGATGGTGCTTCTTTTCTATGTGTCTGCATGTTTTCTTCCTTCATCTGGCAACTCTGCGTATGTGCACACTCGGAACAGGCTCTAGCTATTCTTCTGCCTCACTGATGTCTGACTCCGAAGGCAGCTGATAACTGTCAGACAGCCCTGGCCCTATCTCTGCCTCCGATGCAGAGCACTCATCAGGGCCTTCCCCAGACTCCAGGACTGGCCCATGCTCCTCCCCATCCTCCTCACTGTATGAATCTGCTGCCAGCTCCACTGGCTGCTATCAGGCGACAACAATTTATCAGATTTAGAGACTCTCCATCTAACCACAAAGGTATTCTTTCTACCATATCATTGACATAAAAATTAAATAGCAAGAGAGCTAAAATATTCCCTTATTTAACAGTCTGGGAAGTAGGGGGGGGAAAGCAGACTTGGTTTTTAAGCCTAATTGGATATAGGCATTATCATGCAACATTTTAATAAGTGCTATCAGATGTCTAGCAAAAAAATAAGCTCAATTTACATGAACTGACTCAAGAGATCTTCTATTTATGTTTTTTGCAGTCTTTTCCCAGTCTTGAAGAATCCTCAGACTTTTGCAGTAGAGGTAAGAATTTAATGTTCAAAGTTTTTAAATCTTCCCTCCTGGAGTTAATGATTATTCATATTCTGTATGTTTCCTTCCATTTTGTTAGTCTTTTTCAAATTCTAACATTGTGTGTCATTCAAAAAGGATACAGAATCAGTAACAATTATTTACAAATGAGTATCCCGGAAACTATTCAGGAAATCTTGTAAATGTTCAGCTTTGAAATTTGCAGTACAGTTATTAAAATGCTGGGATTAGTGTGAAATTTTAATTTGGCATTTCAAAGTATAGAAAACCAATCACTTTGGAAAGTGACTTTCATGGATCCTAGCATAGTTAAAATCAGGGTTTTGGTAATTTGAGCTTTTTCTTGAAATCAAGAAGTATCTGAGCATTAAGCAATGCAATCATAAAGTTTTAGAAGTTTACATCGTGTATCTAAATTAACAGCAATTGATCCTAAACTGTTTTATATATGTATAAATGCACACACATGCATACATACAGTATGCATGTATGTATGTATTTTTATGTATACAATTTGCATAACTGTTTGAAATTGTCCAGTCCAGATCTAGCTGGTATCCTAAGACAATAATTCATGTATACTTCTGTAGACTGCCTGATAGGAAATTCTCTTCTCAGTAGTTGGAAGCCTTGGCTTTTCATTTGTTCTCTTCATATTATGTACATAAGATGCTTTATACCTCACATATCAATGCTCAAACCTATCACAATCTATTCAAGAAGCCAGACAGATTCTAAAGGATTTCTGTTGTGATAAACAAGTGGTTTGCAGCAGGGGGAAGAAGGCAGTATCTAGCAAATCTCTTTGCTTGCTTTATGTATGGTACCTGCCATCCTTTGGCTTCCTGTATCAGCCAATTGCAAAGGGATTTCCCTTCTAAATATTGTGCATCTTCATGCATCTTCATATCTTCATTTGCTGTCCAACTGCATTCCAGTGCAAGTGTTACTCGGGAAGCCCTAATTTGAGTTCCATTGTAGATTGAAAATGGCAACTCTTGAGAGCATACATTCTTTTGCTCAGATTATTGAAGGAAGAGACTGGTAGAGGAAAACCAGGCAGTTCTATGGCTCTGTCAGTTAAACCATTTGACCATATTCTCTAGGTTGAGCATTGATTTGGACAAAACTTAAGAAGTCATAAGTAGCCCAGTATTTACATTTTACATTGCTAGTAAACAAACCTGTGACCCATTGAATCACTCTTTTGAGATATTTTCTTATCATGATCCTCAATGCTTTAAACAAAATGAAAGAATTTGTAAATTTACTACATTCTGTGGAAAAGTTGGAATACATCCAGTGATATATCTGTTTTGAAAATAGCTCGGATTTGAATATATAGCACAATCAAACATCAACACAAGAAGTGTTTTGTGACATTTTGTAGTATGTCCTAAACCATTTTATGGTAATGTTTATGTCATAAAATTTGCCAAATTTTACTTCCACGGGAGTCATTGGTCCCAGATTTTGGATACATTCTGTAAATTAGTCCATGTGAGGCACCTTGGTTCAAAAATTGTTGCCCTATGATGCACTTTCTCCTAATCAAAGTGATAGGAATGAGAGTTTTAGCAGTATTTAGATAGCAGGAGTTGAATACTACTTAAAGAGATTCAGATGGAATACAACCAGTGATTCTCATAATGTTCCCTATTTGAGAAACAATCATTGCCATGTCTAGGGGCCATTGGTACTCATATTCTGATTAGAACTTCTTTGTAAACCAAAATTCCTGTGAACACATTGTTTTGTGAAGGGTCTATGACATCTCGGCACCGCCATCTTGTCACGGACATGTTGCCATGGCCACTTCAGAATGGAACAAATCACCATTGAAAACTTGCCACAGGACAACTTGACATCTCTTCTGCAGCACCACATCCCAGTGTGCTACCCACCCACTGAGGAGGCCTCCCACCCAGGTTTCTTTTTCTCCATGGGCCCTTGTGGGAGGGTGGCCTGTGTGCCAGTCTCAGTGTTGTGCTGTCCACACATGACAGGCACATCCTGTCCATTCGTTTTTCCTCAAGAGAGGGTGGCATCTGTGTCAGTCTTGGTGTTGTGCTGTATGTGTGAGAGAAGCACATCCTGCCTGCCTTGGTGTAGCCCATGCTAAGAAGCACATCCTGCCCATCCCTTTTTCCCTGCAGGTCCTCGCTGGAGCATGTCTCTGTGCCAATCTCGGCATTGTGGACTTCTCTTTTGTCATGCTGTGCTAGATCTTGATGGGTCCCAGATGGGGAGAGAGGCAAGCAGGGATGGTAACAGTTGTCTGGCGACTGTCAATGACTCCTGTTTAGCCCACCTTTCACCTCCCTTCTCCAAACCCATGGCAAAGGTTTCCGTGCCTGCCTTTACAACACCCCTCCTCCACAAAGGGACCTGCTGCAGGAGGCTCATCAAGTTATCCCATAGCGAATTTCCCCTGGCAATGTCCCACACTGAGATGGCAGCTCAGAGATGCCCCTGGCGACATGGCCTTTGCAAGATGACAGTGCTGAGATGGCAGCACTGAGATGTCCCATTCCATTTGGGAAATGGATGGGATAGATCCAGGACTATTCACTAAAAGCAGTGAATGCAGACTTGACGTGAAAAATGGCAACAAATCTAAGGTTGGTTTTTGTTATTTTTTTCATGAATTTGCAGCTCCAATATCTGTACTGTATGAGCAGGCAATGATATCAAAGATGCCGAGTTCATCACAGGAAGTATTGTCAAAGCAAACGGAAGATTATTGGAAAAAGATGAGGATGAGGTAAGAGAATTTGGTGCAAAGAAGCATTTCCAAAAGTTATAGCAATGGTTTTCTTATTATTGTATTCCTGGATATGTGTGGTGAAATGTAGTGCAGAGTCACAGGGCAGGGACTCTTTCCCAGAGAGCAAAGAGACAGCAGAGCTTGGAATTGAGGGTGAAGGCGGACTTACCCCTAGCAATTCACAGTGTATCTAATAGTTATGCTGGTAATTGCTTTAGTCTGCCAAGATTTTTGTCTACAAGTGAACACAATAAAAAAGGCTATTCAGAAGTAACTCCATGTGTCATTCTTGACTGGGCCTGACATTAATCTTGCCAGACTAAAACAACCACCTGCATAACTGTTAGATGTAGTCTGTGAATCTCTAGGGGCGTCCACCTTCGGCCTCTTCCTGCAAACTAGAGATTCCACCCTCCACTGTCTCTTTGCTGTCTGGGAAAGCACTCCTTCCTCCTGTGTCACTGGGCTACATTTCATCACAATATGTCTTGCAGAGCAGAAATAACTTCGGTAAAAATACATAATTAATATTGCACTGTAGTATTTTATAAAACATGAGGTTAGTGAAGGAATTCTCTTCTCTCTTCTATCCTCTCTTCTCTTGGACACATTGGTATCTGAAACACTCAGATTACTTCTGTTATATATTTATATATATGCCCTGATTGGTTGACCCGTGGTGGCGGGAAATGGAAGAGCTGTCACTGGTTGCAGCCGCAGCAGCCTGGGGTAAAAAAGGAGCTGCCGTGGCTGCTGTTCTTTGTTCTGAATGATGTAATAAAGAAACTTAAATGGTCGGATCCTCCCACGTTTTCTCTTGCCCACAATTTAACAACTTCAATATCATCATCATTGCCATCATCATCGTCATCATCATCATCATCATTTTAGCCATTGCCCATCCACTGCAAGATGAAGGCCTCTTCTGCAAGTTTCCAACCAATACAGTCCTGAGCTTTCTTTTGTGAATTGTGCCCACAGTACTTGCTGGTATCATTGATCCATCTTGTTTTAGGTCTCTTGTGGATGCTTTTTATCAAATGGGATCCAGTCGATGACTGCCTTGATCCACCTGCCATTGATTCTTTTTGCTACGTGACCAGCTCATTTCCGTTCAAATTCTTTTACTCGCTTGATGGTATCATATACTTTTGTTTGTTGTCTAATCCATGTGCAGGTCTTTCTATCTTGTCTTGTAATGCCAAGCATTTCCATGGCTCTTTGCACCATTCGTAGCTTTTGTCTTGATTGTGAGATTAGTGTCCATGTTTCACCGGCATATTCGAAAAATTTTCCCTTCAGGCATAGAGGGAAGTTGTTCTTGAAAATTATGCTTAGCGTGCTGAATGCCTGTCAACCACATTTAACATGCCATTCAATTTCCTTTGTTGTATCACCTTCCATTGAGATTCATTGGGCAAGGTATATGTAGTAGTCTATTATGTCTAGTTCTTCTAAAGATACCTATAAAACTTTCTTTTTTGATGAATTTATTAAACATAACTTAGCTCTTTTTCATGTTTATTTTTAAGCTAAATGGTTCTCCTGCTTTGTGTAGCTCTTGTAGGTGTCTTTGTAGCTCTTCTGAGTCTAGTGAAAAGAGAACAACATCATCTGCAAATCTTAAGTGATTTAAAAAGATGCCATTGATTTTTATTCCATCTTTTGTCCAATCTAGTTTGCAAAATACTTCTTCAAGGCAGGCTAAGAAAAGGATAGGTGATATTTGTATCGCCTTGTTGTATACCTCATTCTATATTGATTTCTACTTTAAGATCATTAAGGCAAATTATTGCCATTGTTTTTTCATATATTGATTGTAGTAAGTTTTATATGAGCAGTGCCTACGCCCTGGTTGACCAATGCCATAATTATTGTTTGCTGGAATACTGAGTCAAATGGAATTCATATTGTCATCTAGTTTGATCCTTAGGTACAAGTTCTTACATGGGTGATGAGAGCTGTTGAAAAATTCCAATAAACTTAGGTTTTAAAATTGTTAGCTTAAAACTCTTTCTGGATGCCCTAATTCTGATGCATTGTTTAACAAATATTGAGTAAGCAAATTACCAATTATAGTAGTCATTAGCTTTGAAAGTAACACTGTTATTTCATGTATTGTTTGTTCTTTCATTGACAGTTTACTTCATTTAATTTCACGCTTGGTACAATCCAATATTGTGGTAGAGGATATATGTTACTGTAGCAAGGTTTTCTTTTTGTCTCCATTTCATCACCAATTTTCAGAAGTTACTTTAAAGCAGAGCTTCCCAACCTGCAGACCACGACCTGATACTGAGCATGACCTGGTTCTGCCACATAAGTGGTGGATGTGTGTGGATGTATGCGCAGCTTCATTTTCATGAGCAGCAAATGTGTGTGCCCACCACTTGTGCATAATGCACAAATGTGACTGCATGTGAGTATGTGTGGGCCTGCTGCTCACTAGGAACCATCCCCTCTCCCTCCCACAGTCTGCAAAGACAGAAAAGTTGAGGAACTGCTCTAAAGAATTGGAACATTTTGGGGAAGAATATTTTGACTTGCAAACTGCAGAAGAAAAGTGCATGTTCCATCAACTGAATCCTGACACTTCTGTTGATAGAGGAATAATTATTTGTTTGTTTGTTTGTTTATTTGTTTATTTAATGTATGGCATCTATAGAAGTCATGGAAACACCGATATACAACTTATAAAACACATTATATATACAAACACAAATATAAGTTTAAGTAAAGCATTAGCTTTACATATATATATACATATTATATTTATACATATATGCATGTATGTATGCAAGTAAAATATATGGACAGTACAATAAGAGATAATATATTGAATTAAGGTAAAACTATTTTAAAATCACCATAATATGGTGCCACTGAGTCACAATATGATAGAGGTGTATCTATCTAATCTAAGGGAGCTAATATCTAACTACTTCTAGTGTGGCTGCAATGAGATTGTCCCAGGTGCCTTGAAATAGAACCATACGATTGGATTTTGCCATATGAAATGGAGCCATATGTCATGTCATATTTAAAATCAAATGGAATGCTTCTTAAATAAGAGTCTGTGAATTTTATGAAATGTTTCATTTTCCTTTATGCAGCCACAATGAACCCATGAAGATTTCTGGCTGGCAGACCAAATTAGCACAGGCCAGGTAATGATGCATTAGTTTTAGGATATGATTTAGAAGTCATAAACAGAAGCAGTAGGTGCGGAAAAAAATTCTGAAGTCTGAAGATTTTAAATCAGACAGATTTTTCTAGTATAAATGTCTGGAACCTGTCTGATCATTTAAGTACTATTAGCAATAACTCTGACCAGAATTCCAGAGTTTCATGCTCTTGCTCTGCAAAGATTTGGGAAGAGAAAATCAGAATAGTAAATCAACGTCAAAATAATCTAGTCAATGTCCTAGTTCATCCTGTTTTTTGTAGGATGTTGCTGTAAGATCCTTGAAAGGTTTCCTCTAATATTTCTAACAAATTAAAATCTACTATCTTCTGAAGCAAGCTTTCAGCTGATACTCTTAGTTCTTCCAGATGGTTAGCTGGTAACTGTTTCTTTGTCATTTCCATCGTGTTCACCTATTTGAACCAACAATTCTCTTCTCCATATCCCCTTCCCCAGGATAAATATAGGAAAGTTTCTGTTTTTTACATGGCTTCCTTTATTCTCCATAGTATTTTCCCCTCCTTTATTTTCTATAGTATTAATTTTATTTAACTTAATCTAAGCAATTACTACTAGCTTCCTCAATGGGATAATTCCCACTCCTTTAGCTTTGTACTTAATATGGTATTTCCAAGACCTCTTAAAAGTTTACATTGTGAGCAGGTTTATATTTTCATTATGTTAACATGCTCTTGGAGAGAACCAGTAAAGAAGGCCTTTGTTTTCTTCTTTGAGCTTACGCAACTTGTTTCTTTATATGTGCATACATGCATACACAAATGGGAGGACTTGTTAGTAATTTGCATAATATCAGTGACATACCAAAATAAAAAGAATAAGTAGTAGTATTAATGAAAACAGAAAGGCTTTAATTCAGTTACATCCTGGAAGCCTTCTCACTCCCTGTATCTCACTTCTCCTGCTTTCCTGTACTCTGTAAAACAGGGGTGGGGTACTATGGGTCTTTTACGATCTGGGAAGTGATTTTTTATTCATTTAATTTTTAGTAATATACTGCCAGGAAAAAAAAACATATCACTGCAACTGAAAATTATATTTCTATAAGTGAGAAAGACAATTACACATCAAAAATGCAAACAGTTTGCCAGTCCCTCAGCTCCCTGTGAATCAGTATTTTTAAAAACTTACTGTCTTCCAGAGTGGGAGAAATAACTTCTAGCATGATAAAAAAATAACTATTATATAAACATAATAAACTTTACAAATCTATATGCATGCATAAGGCTCATTCAGTAGTCCTTTCTCTTTATTAATTTTAGCAAAATTGAGAAAATAATAAAGATATATAAACCCATCTAAGTTGTCTGTTTTAAACCAATAGCATGCATTAATAATCCCTGAATGAATTATAAAATAATGTGAAGCCATTATATTGCTATAGATATTTCTGTTTTCCTCCCATTTAAAAATTCTTCAGGCAGGAAATTGAGGATGGAAAGAATTGTCTTATGAGGTTGAGGTACAAAATGATCCCTCCCTATTTCAAGTCTGAATTTGGAATGCAATTTCTTCAAAAAGAGGTAAGCAAGTTATGAAAGATGAGTCAGGTTAGATTAGTTCAAGGAAACCTTTCTGTAAAGGAGTTAAGTCACTAAAAGTTAGATATGATTTTTGGTGACTTAACCATTGACCTATAAAACGGTCTAGAATACCTTGAAGAGTTATAGGCCAGCTATCCCCATGTACCAACAGAAGAACTCTAATGCCAAATATTTTGGAGTCTAAAAAGATGTTAAGTACTAAAAAAAATGGAGCATAAAATTGCCATCTGTCCTGGTCTCCTGGGCCATGGCTTTAATTTGGTGTTTATTTTATGTAGCCTTTAAAATAGCACTGGATCATTTTAGTCTTTGATTCTTATTTTAGCTATATTTTTGCTTATATTTAAGCTAGTCTTAATGCATTCTTATGTTTGGGGATTCCCTGTTTGAGGCCATAGTGAATATTTATAAAGTTTCTTTACAATTTAAATAAAGATACTTCAAAAAAACTGGGGAAAAGGAGGAGCTGAATTACGACATATTGTGTACATTTAATATGAAAATAAATTTTATGGTGTTGATCTATGGATTTGCAGTTTTCTAACTACATCACAGTTTTTAGGTGAATTTTTTATCACTAAAATATGGTCAAGGACCAGCAGATGAAAAGAAAAAGAAAATCAGATCATAGTATGTAAGCTCCATTAAGTTAGTCTCTTGTTTTTGTCCTTCTAAATGTATAAAATGACTCCATTATTTTGTTTTAGCAGTGTTTTTGTCAGAAAGTGCATTTCCTGCTTTTGTCTTTTGTCCCCTTAAAGTTTCCAGATATTGAAGTTCTCTCAGGAATGCTCCCTCCTTTTCCAGACAAAGAAACAAAGGAACTATTGTCGGATACATTTACAGAATCTTTTGAAAATGAAACTGTTGGAGAGAGAGCAAGTAAAACTGAATTTACTTCACTTATTGGGTGCTGGATACTTTGAAGGTGGCAGCACTATAACAAATGCTTGAGAAGTAATATGGAAAAAGACCAGTAATTCATACTGACAGAAAAGAGAATGGGGGGAGAAATGGTTTTAGGCTATTATAGATCAGGGGTGGGATGCTACCGGTTCGGTCCGGTTCTATAGAACCTATAGCTGCGAAGAGCAGCTGACACCGAACTGGCTCGGTGTTTGGCCCACCTGCCTGCCCGGGCTCTAGGCTGTCCTTTATTCCCTGCTTTTCCCTCCTCAGCTGCGCGGCACAGCTAAGGTTGAAAAGCAGGTAACGAGGATTTTCAAAGGCTGCGTACCTGAGCGCAGCGCTTGTCAGCTGTCCAGGCAGCACAGCTGATGATTTCTTGCAAACGCTGCACACACAATTGTCCTCAGTACGGAGAACCGGCAAATAGTTCCACTGGCTACCCCATCCCCTCCCTGCCCACTCACTCCTTACCATGGAAGTTATGGAGGTGGCTCCCCAACCCAAGAAGCAGCTAAAATGCTTCCACAGTTCCCGCCGCTGCTGCCGCTGTTATTGGAGATGGCGCTGGCGAGAGAGGGACAGCTGCAGCTTGGCCTGAGTACTTGGAATGCAGGAACGGGTTGCGCATCGGGACTTTTGCAAACTTGCAGAACCTGAGGCTGGAGCACCAAGGGTAGCAGCAGCAGAGACGCTCGCTCGGCTCTTCTCACCCCCACCCAGCCACTCGGGATTAAACCAAAACGCAGGTCCCTCAAAATCTTTTTTTTTCCTGTTGTTATGGGGACGGGGGAAAAGCAGGAGCGACTCAGACGCTGTTGTTGGAGACAGCGCTGGTGTGCGGGGGGTGGGGGGGAGAAATTAATTCACCCCCGAAAAGACATCCTAGCCGTTTTTTCAGGGCTTAAAAAAAATAAGGCCCGGCCTTATTTTGTGAGAAACACGGTACAATCTTTTAATAATAAGAATTGGAATGTATTTTCACTTTTAAACTGTTGCACTGCTCTACCAGATTTCCCTCCTTCCCCCCTTTTTTTAATGGCAACTACTAAAACAGGCATAGGAATATTTTATGAGTTGACACCATGTGCTTTGTCATGTATAATTTTTTTTGTATGTATTCTGTTTTCTATTCTGTTTTTCTATAAAATAATGTATGAGCCTTTCAAAGCAAATAGTGAATCTGTTCAGAGGGTCTTCTCCCTGTTGCTTTTCCAAAACACCTTAAAAATGTGGTTTTCACCAGACCCATGGACTACGAATGAGATGGAGTAGAATGGGACAATGTGCCGTGGCATGGCCAAGCTGCCATGGCCAAGTTGCTGTGTCCAATCCAGCATGAGACAATTTACCGCAGCACAACTCAACAATTCAGTTTAATTATTTTAAAAAGTTTTTAAATTATTTAAATGTTTATTATTCACACTTAATTTGTCCCTCCTTTTGCATTCTTTCTTTAATGATTCTATTCCACCATTTCTTTGATATTAGTGTAACTCTTGTCCCATGGCCAGTGGTCGTAATGGCTGATTTGATTGTGCTGTTGCTGCCAGGGGGAGGGATGGGCTTTTTTTAATGGGATTTGATTACATGGTGCATCCTGAACATTTTGTAAGCCGCCCACCTCTGTGTGAATTGGGCAGTTGTACAAATTTGTTTAACAAATAAATAGCAAAATAAAAACGCTTCAGATGAATTTATATTTATGTTTTAGAAGTCAAAGAGGGCTTGGTCAGACGTTCCAAAGAACTGCCTCCAAACACCATTTCTTCCTCAATCTATGCTGAAACCTTTCCATCCCATTTTACAAATGGTAAACCATTCCAAAGAGCTCTTTGAAAAAAACAGTTATTAATAGAACTTTATAGCATGTTTAAAATATCTACTGTATATCTTTATAGCTATTTTGTTGATCTCCACCTAGTAAGTAATATTGGTAAGTTGCATATATTGTATGTGTTCTACATGCAACATATTTTGTTGTCCTCAACTGTTTTCTTGAGTACAGAAAATATTTGTTCTAGCACATTTAGTCAAAGAAGGGAGATTGAGTGTCATAACAGATATATTACTATGTATGAATGCACTGTAATATGTAACACAGTGGAGAAAATATAGCAAATCACAGCCCACTAACTATCATCCATGTTGGCAGTATTTTAAGATCCCAAAACTAGCTTTTAAAATGCAGACAATTCACCTGTGGCCCCATAGCCTCTTTTGATCCCTACATTTGCATCAATTCTATTTAATTTGTTACTTAAAATATCTGGCATGCCACTCAAAAGCCTTCAACCTAGAAAAGTTGCCTAATTCTGCAAAAATGGAACTCTAGAATAAAGTTCCTTTTTTATTCCTTTGATCTTACCTGGATCCTAAAATTAAAATCTATTATTTATGTATAAGCATTTTGCTTTGTTTAGAATTTGATCTGAGATGATCAGATTGATTTTTTGAGCTACTGACATAGCAAAGAATAGATATTTAGCAAAAATTTGGCACTTAATATATTTAATAATACAGTTGGTGCCTTTTGGCTTACCTCTCCTCACCAAAAACAGACACCACTCTCTTTCCCTTGAAAGTATCAATATTTCTTCAAGGCCCTCAATTGGTTAGCAAATAAAATTCCTTTTTTTTAACCAGTCAGGTTCTTTTTCTTCTAAGTGATCTCAGAGAGCATCACCACAAACAATCATGTCTTCCTTCGACACTTTGGTTCTAATTGTACCCTAACCTCTTCAGCAAGTTGTAGAATTAGTCTAGGCCAGGGAATATACTGTAGTCTTAAAATTCTTTTCCTTCTCAGTAGATGCAAGAGAAGGAAGTGAAAATGGAGTCCAGATCCGTCCAAAACTTCGATCACTTCTTGTGGATGTTACAGGATCCCCAAGAAAAGAGAAAGTGAAATTGCCTGCTTTGATACAAAGAAACAAGCCACAATCAGTACCAAGGCAAAAAGTAACATAGTTCCCACAGTACAATTTCTTTTTTTCTAATTATCCTTGACTTTACCTTCATTGTATTTAGAATTGTTCTGTCTCCTGAAACTGGTTCTAGTTAAGATGATCATGCTTAAAAGATACATCACCATGTCTTCTATCCCGTTCTCAAGTTTTAGAAATTTCAGCAGAATCTGCAATCAGTTGAGCTTTCCTACCACTGCAGTGCAGTATTGGACTGGGACAAATTCCCAAATCCTAATTTGTTCATGGAGTTGTCTAGTTGAATCAGAAACATTCCTTTTCCTCAGCTCAACCTATCTCAAAGTGTTGTTAATGCAAGGATCACATGAGAAGTGAACCATGAGCACAACTTTTGAGTCTGGAAAGGAAAGGTAGAATATGTTTATAAGAAATAAATGTTGTATAATGATTATCTTTCTCCTAAAACACCCCACTCTGGGGACGCACCTTATTGGCACTTATTCAATGCCAGCATTGTTGGACTTAAAATTCAATGTATGCAACCCAGAGGGGTATTTTCCCTGGGTAGGGAATTGAATGTTGAACTTGATCCAATAACATATCCTACCTACAATTCGTGATTAGTTCAACCATTTGGTTAAGTGATGACATATTAATCAAAGAGCACTGAGATGTGCATAGTCCTAAATGATTCAAAGATCATTTTATCTTAGAATTTATCTAAGATTTCTTTTAATCTAGAAAAGTTGTTGTCACAGAATGTCACAGAAAAGCATACAAGCTCATCCCACTACCATTGTATACTCCTTTCCTTCCCTATCAGAATACCAGATGTTACAGACGTAGAATAGCAACTCAAGTACCTAAGATTCCTCCCACACCACAAGTAGCTAGCTGGGTTTTTTCCCATCTGTCACTAAACAGTAGCCAAAGGGTTTGGAGCAAATGGACAACCATGTACTCCAATCCACTCTGTCCACTTCCTATCCTGGAATGCAAGTAGCTTGGTTTTGGGGACTGCATTGGATGGATTAGGAGTGGACTTTTCTCCTTCCCTCCCTTTGAGCTGCTTATATACTAGTACAAAAGATTTGCCCCTCATCCACAAGGACAGAAAAAGCTAGGATTGGGAACAAAGCAATTTATTTCAAATCTTTGCTTCCTCTGTGAACATCTCCTTCTGCTGTTGGATGACTTCTGCCTATTTTCCTCATATGTGGTCCAGTGATAATTAACCATAGCTTATCATTTAATAAGACCCATCCATCCGTTACATCTTTGTGTAAAATTAAAACAGGCTTGATGGCACCCGAAAGGTAAGAGAAGTACTATCTGACATTGAGCTTTGCAGTATAATTTTACTGAAACAAAAACAAAACCATTAGCAAAAATTATATTACACATTTATGTTTCTCACCCAGGAACGTACTAAAGATTAAATAGACTTTCATGACTTAAGTTCAAATTCATACTACAGAACACAATTAAATATTGTACATTTTTGTACATGTTAAATTATACAGAGGACTGATTTCACAAGGGCAAATCCACTTATAATTGAAGGTGTATTAAGTTCCAATTGACAAAAGTGATTATTTTACATTTAGTCTATTGTGAATTCTGAATACCAATCTTCATTTCAGAATTGAAGTATTAATAGCCACTGTGAATGGGTAAAATATCAATGGGAAGAATAGATGTATGGCTTAAGAATTCTGATCTGTCTGTCCTTCCTAAATAATCTCTCTTGTTTGTGAAGAATGTAGACCTTGTTTCTGGCAAAGTCCGCACATGCTCTGTCACAGCACCTTCCCAGAAAATGTCAGGATTCCTTCTTATCCCACCGAAGGTGACATTTGGCATTCTTAAGGAGGGCTGCACTTATTCAACCACAGTGGCTTTGAAGAATGTTGGAATGGACTTCTGCAGGTTTGTATATATTACTAGCAAGTTTTATATTGGCCAAAGGATAACACATACAAATATTTAGCTTTTTGGCTATTTGGGGATATGCCATGGAGTTGTTTGCAGAAAACTGAGATTCTTTTCTATATGAACGATGTCAGAGTGGTAAATTGTTCCAAGAGGAAGAACAAAGATAATTTCTCTCTTTTGACTACAGGAATGTAATATACGAGAATAGCACCAACCCATGGACTTGAATTTCATTATTAATAATAATAATAATATTCAGAACAGAAGCATTTGTAGTAGCCATGTTCTTCTATGAGTCATGCATAGAGTTTGTATAACACAGATGACACTTTCTAGGGCAAAACATTGCAGTGGTAAATCTGTTGCGTTAAAGTATTTGTCCAAAAGGTGAAATGCCTACCTAATCTCCCTTCCGTCCTCATTGTAGTGTTAGCATTTAGTGACTTTGAGTTGAACTGGCAAGGATGCACCAACTTCTAATGTCCAAGGTTTTGTTAGAATAACATGGAGTGAAGGTAAAAAACACTATAACAATTGAAACTACATTCTGCAATTGCATGAGACAGAATTTCATTTCTGATGGGTCCTTTTGCAGCAGAATTATCTTTTGAATTTAGAATAAAGGCGATATAGTACTGCCCAATATTATTTTCCATGGCATTTATAAAGAACAAGGTAGTTATGATGGTCAAAGACCATTTAGTTTCAACTACATGGCTTATGTACCCACATGGACATACCCGCTGAATGTTCCAATACCCTTACCTTTAGTTTGCCTTTTGAATCCAATGCAGAAAGAAATGTAGTGGATTTCAAACACATTTTTTTTTGTTTATAAAAGTTCATAAAGTTGCATCTGTGCTAAGAGTTCAGAGTGAAATCTTCGTTTTGGGAAGAAATTATCATGCTAGCATTGGTGATATTTTACAAGTTGTCACATGGGAGTTTTTCATCATCAGAATCTTATTATTCAGGAGAATCTAGTTTGGGCTTTGGATGAGGCCACCAGCAGGAGTATGAAGGAGCAATTGTTTGAGATACTTCCATTCTGTGCTCTTTAGACAGCTGTTTTTGCTTAAATAAAGCAGGCATTTTGTTTCTTACTGGCCCTTTCCTCCAGAAATTCAAATTACACAACAATATCATTCCTAGGTTTGATGATATGAACAGTATGTTTAATACTGTGCCCCACATGTCCCTTAAATCAGAATTACGGCCATCAAGACTGAAGATACAGTTTAAAAAAATCTCTTTCTGGTGAGATCTAAATTACCATTGGGCTGATTCTTAATAGCCCATCTGAGAAGCTTTCTCAGATGATCTGTCCATTTTCTGGATCCAGGTTTTCTGCACAGTTACATAAAAATCTTTCCATTAATCTAGCTGGCATAAGAAGTCCTCAATTGATCCCCTGGCCAAGATGCTTGTCTTTTTACCAGTTTGCCTTTTCCCTTATAAACAATAGAGAGTATAGAGAACAGCTGGAGGTTGTTTAAAATTTACATAGATTATCTCCTGGTTTCATTTTGATCCTTTAGATACATATTCTGTTTGAGACAACTTTTATCTGTCATCAGACTGAAGAGATTAGGAGAGAGGCTGCATCTATTTTATGATGGATATAGGTTGCAGTGGGAACAAATTTCCAACCAAAAACTTAGTTTTAGATGGCTTCAAATGAGGCCAGTAAAATGATCTTTCAAATACTAATTACAAGGAAGCAATATGCTATTCTTTCACTAAAAATATCTAAGCCACATTATATAATGTCTTTCTTCAGACTGAAAAATATATTTTAGATAAAGATGGTAACTAAGAAACTAAGTGGTTATTTTGGGGGCTTCTTAAGTTATGAATTTAAACTTTGCCTCCATGACTTATTTTTGACACAGATTGAAAATATCTTAATAATTATGGAAGCCAACATTTGTGTGGACCCATCTTCTTCCATGCTGTGCTTCTTATTTCTCTAGTTCAGCACAACACAAAAAAAATTAACATTTCTATTACTTGGCAGGTTTCGGGTGAAACAACCACCACATTCTACAGGATTGAAAGTGAACTACACCCCAGGGCCTGTAAGTCCTAGGGTGTTGAATTAATTTGAATTGGTTTTTCTTCTGCAGGCAGAGCACTGTTCTTAAATATGGCCTATGGGCCTTTCCTCACAACTGAGTTCAAGTGCTATCCATCCATCTTGAACTGGCAGAATATTACGAGCTTCTTAGCTGATATCCATCTAGTGTCTCTTTCCTCTGAATTGTCACTGAATAATGCTGGTCCTGACTAGTGATTAGTAGAAATCAGTAAACTGAGCAATTGGACAAGTCCTCTAGCATTAGTGCCTTTTGTCTTCTGCACATCTCCAACTCCAGTAAAAAATGGAAGTGCAACCTTTGGAGAAGGCCAGAAGATTTTTCTCCTAACTAGTAGTTTAATAAGATTTCTCCATGGAATAAACTACAGATAGAAAAAATTTAGAGGAATATAATATAATTTAATGATCAGTACTAAAGATTTTCCTGGACTAATGGCCAATTACAAGGGTGCTCTGCAGTAGTTAAGGATTTAAAAGAGACCAAGCACCATCTGTCTAACCTATTGTACTAGCAACAAATTAATAAATAGGCATAGAATGGATTACCTTCTTTGTGGGATTGATTTGACACTCCAGGATTATTGAGATGGCCCTTCTTTTCAAGTAGCAATAAAATATAAGTTTTGAAATTCTGTGTTAGACAGGTGAAGCAGAATACCAGAAGTGCTGCCTTTTTCTCTGCAGTAGTGAAGAGCAGTGATCACATTTTTTGAGCTTAGGTTTTGTTTTTTAAACTCTTCAAACAATTATGCACACAAATGTGTATAACATTCAGAAGAACTATCTCTTGGTTTAGTCAACAAATTGCCCCACGAATGAGTGCTACTCTAGTGAATATATGCCCCAGCAGCCTCTACATGGGTGTTGGGACAAATGGGCTGATTGCTGTATCTTAACAGAATGATGTAGTAATCTCCTTTTTGGATATTTCTTAATACCTGTCTCCTGTATGTAGTTTGTATAGGCTTTTAATAAACTTCATCTTCCTTCTAATGAACACATTTTAGAAGCTTTTTTTAAAAAATGGACTTGTTCCTTTTCCTAAATATGGAAATCCTTTAAATCAGTGGTTCTTAACCTTTTTGAAAGAATCGCCTCCTTGAGCCATTGAGGAAGTTATCATTGCCCCCCTCCCCCAACATAACCTCTCAATCACAACACAGGGAAATAATTCTTCAATTTATGCAAACACATTTTTTGTTTTCTTTAAAATTGTCATCAGGACACATCGATGCAAATAATTTATTTCCAGTCTTTTTCCCATATCTCAACTGTGTGAAAAATTCTAATGCCATCCATCACTTCACACCCAAACTTTGTGATACATGTATTTCATTATTATGTTATTTATTCAAGACACTTAAATGCAATGACCACTGAAAACAAAATTCAATTGCAAGAAAATGAAATGTTCAAAAAAAAACCAGTAATATTTAATGATTTAATTACAAGTGAATTTTAAGACACAAGAAGAAATATAAAAAGGACATAAGAACAAACTGCAATGCAGGAACTAAGAATTTCAAGATGAAAACTAAATTAAGATTCGAGGAAAATATATATTCATGCACACTGTAAAAAGGGTTAAAAAGACACAAAGAAAACGTTTACAGAAGGAAAGCAACAAAAATCAGTTTAATGCCTAAACTGAATAAATATATATATATATATCTACGCAAAAAGTTTACGCAAAGAGCACAACAACAAAAATTGAAACCATGGACTTCTGGTTGGGCTTCTTCGGCGACGGACCAAAATCGCAATCGTCTGCGGTTTTGATCTGTGCTCACCGCTGGAGCGCCCCGAACCGCCTGGATTCGGGGCGGAAGCCATCCCATAGAGGTGGTGAAGGGGAAGCTGTCAGTGGGGTTGAGGGGAGCCGCATCTCTCCTCGGCTGGCCATTACTCCCTTTCCCAAAGGTGGTTGCAGCGGTGGTCAGAAATGGCCACCTCAAAGAAGAACCCGACCGGACAAGATTGTGCAGGAGGAAATTTAAAGGAGAAAGTTTGACCGGGTTGAATGAAGAACATCTATTTAAGGTACCTGGAACCTGAATTTTAAAGACTAATACTATTCCTCAAAAAGATTTTAAGCTGTGAAAGAGAAAGGGAAAGGAAACGGAATTGGCTTTTTTTCCTCTAACATCAACAGTTTTAACTGACTTGGAACATTAAGAAGAAGAGATTCGAGTAAGAAATTGATACTAATCCACTTTGACATTAATAGGCTATTTCTAGCTGAAAATAAAGTGTCAAAGGGATAAAGAATTTTGGGTAATTTAAAAACTTTCTTAACAAAAAGAAAGCAGTGGAGGGAAAAAGGAAAAAAGAGGGTGGAATCTGGAAAATGGAGACCACCACCTGGAACTTAAAAAAATTGATAGTGGAATTTTAGCAAGGCTTGCAAAAGATACATTGTAGCTGAAATTTTGTTACAAGATAACAAAGTCCCTGGAAACAGGAAATGAGAAAAGAAGCAAGAAACAGTTTTGGATTATTGGATTATTCCTGGAATTTTGGATGGGGGATCCTAATGAAATAAAATAAAATCAATTGGGTGTTGTTTAAATTTTTTTAAAATGGCATCACTCCTTGAAGAGTTAAAAATGAGACTTAAAGAACAAAAAGAAGCACAAGACGGAAGAGGATCTTTTGGCTTCGTATTTCAATATTTAGAAATGGAGGTCTTGTACTATGAAAAACAAGAAACGCTGGCAGAACAAGAAGGGCGGGACAATGAAGAAGCCATCTTTAATGATCAAGCAATTTTAAGCGGGATAAAAAAGGGAAAGTGGGGAAAGGGAGTTAAAAACTTAAGCACTGAAGCAACAACCAAAAAAAAATTAATTTGAAAAGTAATCATAATATCAGGAAGAAGCAGAAGGGAGGATCACAGAAGGGAGAATCAGATAGAAAAGGGAATAAAAAGGGGAGGGAGAAGAAGAGAGGGAAGAGGAAAAGGAAAAGAAGCTACAAAAGACAGAAGCAAGATATAGAGGTACAGTAAAAATGTACAAGAATTAAAGGTATATACCTATTTAAAAGACACAGAGGCAATGGTTAAAATTTAACTTGAGTCTGCAAGGGTGCATGGGATAGCGTTGTTATATTAGAAATAGAAAAGGGTTAGAAAATATGTTAGATGATTAAAGTGACAGAAAAAACTTCTATTGATGTGTAGTGGAATATTTATTTGTAAAGTTTAAAGGATTTTAAAATGATTTAAAAAGAACATTTAAAAAAACTGAAAAGAAACATGGAAGATTTTTATCAGTTGACAAGATGAACTTGAATAAGAATAATAACTTTATTGACTATTGTTAATAACTATTTGGTTTTTTTATTTAAAGACAGTAATAAGTAAACTATGAAGTATAGATGATTAAAGTGAAAGACCACTGATATTACTAGGTAATATTTGTTAAAAGAAATAGAAATGTAAAAGATTGTTATTAATATTAATGGCAGAGCTGTATTTGAATAGAATAATATTCCATTTACTATTGTTATACATATATACACAGATACATATATACAGTACTTTTTTCTTTTAAGAATTTAGTGTGTATTTTAAGGGAATGTACCAAGCAGAATTCGATTGAAAGTAGGTATGTGTTATAAAACAGAGGTTAGAAAATGAATGTTATAACTGTAAAGGTGTAACTTAAATTTTTAAATAAGATTTGAAAAAAGATACAAAGGTGTTACACTCCAGTCTAGTAATTACAGGGGAAAATTTGTTTTATGAGAAAAGATAATATGCAATTATAAACAGGACAGACGAAAGTATAAAAACATTGATTAGAAAGATTTTAAAAATTAGAAAAAGATATGTAATTGAATTAAGAAAGGAATGAGATAATTTAAAATAAGGCTATAAGAAGTAAAGAAAGGGAAAAGCTATTGAAAAAATTGCAAAAATAGTTATAAGATATGGATTAGAATGTATAAGATAAATATGTATTGAGTATGTCTGTATGGAGAAGTGATAACCTGGGGCCACGCTGTTCTCAAAAAAAGATATTTTATTTGCATTTGTATGTTTTGTGAAAACTTAAATAAAACTTTTATTTTAAAAAAAATTGAAACCATAGAACCGAGAAACCAAAATATAATATCGAACTGGAGTGCACGCTAAAAAAGTACAATATAAAAAGACACACAAAATGTTTTACAGAGCACAACAAGAATTCAAAAACGAAGCCGAAAACTCAAACTGGAACGTGAAATCCAATGCAAGCAAATACAATGATAAGAGCTGAGACAATTATTAACAAAGAAAATGTATGTATGTAACAAAGAAAAAGCAAAAAAAGAACATCAATGGCTGCCTTGTGCTTGATGAGATGATACCAATTTCTTGATGTCTGGAACCATTTTTGTTAACCTCATTCTTAAATTGCGCTCTCAGTGATCTTCAACATGTTCCTTGACTTAGAAAGGATCTGTTGGACAGCACTGAATCCCCTCTCCATTAAGTAAGTGGAAGGAAAGGCTAAAAGAAGCAACTTAACTTCCTCCCACAATATTGGGTAAGTGTTCCTCATTTTCACCCAAAAATCTTCGTGGCCGTAACTCTGAAAATGTGATTGGGCTTCACAGTCGTATTTCAGATCTTTCAGTTGCTCCTTCAGTTTGGGATGAGGTTGTGCAAAGGCTGCTGTGAAAGGATTTAGCACCCAAGTGGGCACTGAATCTGATTTCCATATCTTCTTTTAGTTGTTTCAAGTGGCAGCAAAAAATGTCCAAATCTTCTGCTTGGAGTTGATGTTCATTACGAAGGCTTGGGAACTGATACAGCTCCTGGCGACTCATATTGCTTGCAAGGAGGTCTAATTTGGAAATAAATGAGCAGAGTATTCCTTTGGCCTTAAGAAAATTGATTTTATCTCCTTGCAGCTTTACGTTCACTTCATTCAGCTTGTCAAAAACATCAGCGAGATAAGCTACATCCAGACGTCGAAGTTTAAGAGAACTGCTTAAACTTGGATCAATGGATTCAAGAAATTCGACAACTCTCAAAAAGTTTGTGGAATCGCCGCAGACACTTTCCTTTTGAAAGCCACCTTACTTCGGTGTGCAAAAGGAGACTTTCAAACTCATCATTTTCTTCACAAAGCTTGTGAAAAAGTCGGTTGTTCAAGGCATTTGACTTAATTTTATTCATAGCGTTAATGACGTAATGTATACTCGTGCAAACGGCCACTCAAATTTTTTGAGACAAGGTGCTGTCTATGAATGATGCAATGGACAGTCATAACTCCAGGTAAAACTGATTTTAGATGAGCTTGAAATCTGCGATATCATCCAACCATGGATGCAGCTCCATCAGTTGCACATGCCATGATGTTTGTCAAAGGGACGTTTTTCTCATTAAAAAACTCTTCAACCTTTTTAAATATCGAAGAACCTTTTGTGTTGGTGGCTAAATTTCGAGCAAATAACAGTTCTTCCCTGATCTCTTCATTTCTGTTGATGAAATGGACATAAGCCAATAACAAGGCTTCATTTTCAGGAATCGTTGACTCATCAATCTGCATCACGAATTCTGTACTTTTCAAGATGTCAATAAGCCTTTCTTCCACATCAGCAGCCATTTCATCAATTCTTTTTGATAGTGTCATTGCTGAAAGGAATCGATTGCGTGACAGTGCTTGCACTGGGCCCCTACATGGTGGCAACAATCTGTTTCACTGCTAGTAAAATCAGCATTTCTCCGATAGTGTGAGGTTTGCCACATTTTGCTATCAACAAAGATACTTCATAGGAACAAATGAGCCTCTTGTCGACATTGAGTGACGATTTTCCAAATACCTTCTCAACAGTGCTGCGACCCTCAAACTTGGCCTTTAAGGATTGGAAAAACGATATGGGTTTGTCAGCTTTATCCAAATAAATTCTTACCAAATGGTCTTTCAGTTGGGAAGGCTTCATCGCTTCATTTGAAAATGTTTTCTCACAAAAAAGAAAAAACAGGAGCTGTACGTTGGAAGGAGATGGAATGAATCCCAATTTTAGGTATTCCATTGAATATTGGTGACACTTCCTCTTCTCGGCCATGTTGAGAGGTCTTCAAAATGAAAGGCACTAACTGCAAATTAAATTTTCGACTGCACAGGAGCACTATAAAACACATGGATGTCGATAAACTTAGTTTCAACAATTACATTGACATCACAGGAGACAGTCACTCAGCATGCAATGTTTCAAAAGAAGCGCTCACTCCTCCATCACTGCCCATTCTGGCCAATGGCGCGCCACTGTATGGGTAGAGTGATAGAGGCTGCTGCGCAATGCGCATGAAGATGAGAGATCCGTATTCACATATGTACGGCATTCTGTACTGAAGCTAGTTGGAGGAACATTTTAAAATACAGTTCAATCCACTAATAGCAAGTCATCTGATGTTTTTGTACGACAGATATACAGTTCACTGTACGAAAAGTCTCAAAAAGTGTTCCCAAAACTTCTCGCTCCATTGCCCCCATATCGCCCCTGTTCCATTCCTTCACCCCCGCATCACCCCTTTTCGTTCTATTGCCCCCCTGAAAAACAAAATTGCCCTCTGGGGGGCAATATCGCCCAGGTTAAGAACCACTGCTTTAAACTACCTTTAACATGCTGCTTATCTACAATTCTTTAGTTTTCGTTGTGTTCAAATGATATATCATCAGTTTCAGGGATTATACAGTATAGTAACAGGAAGGAAATTCTACATTGAACATTTGAAGAGTAAATTGCCATAAAAATGGTTTGGGACTATTCACACCAAGAAAATTACATGGGATTTAGCTTTCTTTCACTCTGTGCTCCAAACAGGTCATTTGTTATCACAGTTTCAAGTGAAGAGTTTATAGTAGAAATGTTATGGTGAAAATTCAAGTCACAAATGAAATGAAGCCTTACCAGCAAGTTTATTTAGGGTGATGGTTAAGAATAATTTAAAGGAAGCAAGATAGTGGAGAGTGGGAGGCAAGAATCAATTTTGTTCATGGTGAATTATATATGATTTGTCTTTTCTAGGTGGCTGCTGGACTGCAAACTGTACTGGAAATAGAGATTTTTGCCATGGCTATTGGAGTGGAAGGAGATGAGGGCTTGGACAAACTTTCCCATCAGATTGAAATTCAAACCGAAACCGAAATACTATTTCTTCCTGTGGAAGCAAATATCTTTCAGTGTTTCTTTTCTTTTGTTCTACATTGAGTTTATATAGGATAAACGAATAGTCTTTACTCCACTGACAAGTGGCAATCTTACCTTTCTTTAAATCACTTATTTACTTATTTAGTATCCCACACTTATTTTTATTTATTTTTAGTGCTATCTTTCAAAATAAAACCTTTCCCCGGCAATACCCCTCATAAACATTATGCATGTTTATTTGGAAGTTGTTATAGGAGCAGTCATGCCTACTTTCTATTGTTCACTTCAGCTGCTGGCATATTATCAAAAAGGTGTTTACGTACAATTACATTGCTCCTATTTCTAAGAACCAGAATATCACTTCAATCTATTTTATAACAAAGGCTTTATTTGGAGTTTTTCAGTTTTCTATTGTTGTTAATTTTTCCTATAATAAGGAAAATTGCATCTCCCAGGAGATACTGAAAGCACAAACGCACATTACATGTTTGTACAACTGAGAATGTGGCATTTCATTATCAGCTGTAGCACTGTCAAACACAAGCTGCTATAGTAACATAAAAGAAACTATAAACAGTTTTCTTGGTGTGGTCTATGACCCTGTGCTACTCTATCACATGGACAAAAATGTAAGCTAGCTGACCCAGGGACATCATTACTACTTTCTCTGCTAAACTGTGTAAGAAAGAAGTCTCATGTCTCATTTCATTTCATGTCTCTGGAGTCTCATGTCTCACTGTATTTTCTCAATGCTTTTGTGTTGCCCAAATGAAAGTAGAATTTAGTGGATCAGACAGCCTCTTTTTAAAAGAATGTCTTTATGCTTTATTATGCTTTTATAACACTCAAAGCTCGGAAAAGGGTTTAGCAAAACAATGTATCTCCTTAACTTGCTTTTTCACCAGTCTTAACAGACAATGTCTATGATGAGAGACCATCAAACTATCCCAAGGGAAGGCAAGCCTCCAGTGTCCAGTTGATTCCAGCAAATCCAGCCTCTCAGTTTAGAGTAATACTTCCTCACAAGCTTCCTCATTAATGTAAGCAATTGTATTTCTGTATGGAAAGTCTGGGTTTCACCCTATCAAAATGAGACCTTATGTGTGGCAATTAAATCACTATTGGGAGGAAGTAGTAAGGAGCTTGGGATGGTGGGGAAGGGCTAGTGGGTGTAGGTGGAGGGTAACCAAGAGACCGTTTGGGCTTAAGAGTCATGAATGGCATTGATAGGGACAGATCCTAAATGAGAGAATTACAACACCAAAATATTCAAACAGTGAAAGATAACAAAATTTAAAATGTGCATAAAACCTATTGGGACACTGTATGCTACACATGCTTTTTAAATAGGTGGCTTGCAGAATTCTAGGTGGACACATTTCAATGTACTGCTGGGGTAGGTGATATGCCTCTTGCACTCAGGAAAAAAGAAACAGTGAGAAAAGGATTTGGCAAATTGAGATTCCTTTCCCGATTCTTGTCTGGCCAACTGCTTTCTGCCGAACAGTCACCTCTGCATCCTTGAGTCAAGAAATATATTTGTCTAGTGACCAGAAAATGCAAATAAAAACTACATATATTCATAAGTTCAAATCATATGCAAGTTTTTTTGCAAAGAAAACTTAAAATAATTTGGAATGATTGGATAAGCAGTAGTCTGCTTTCAGCATTTTTTGAGGAAAGTGAGATCTACCTGTTGGAGGATTTCATTTCTTTTAGACAGACTTTTTTTTTTCTGTCACCAGTTTTCAGAGGAGGGCAGAGACCACAAGTGGACTCAAGCCATCTGCTTCATTAAGTAAGAATTCCATATTTAAGAAAATGTCAAAAGCAAAAATCCATTTCCATTATTACTTTAACTTACTTTAAATGCACAAGGCAAATAAATGATTGTATCTACCTGCTGAATTTAGCAGACGTACGCATTTTGACAGTCAAGTTAGTTGTACTAGAAAGTTACATCAGAAAAGTTGCTTAGAAATTTGTCCATATGCTTATATAATTTTTTGTTTGTTTTGCAGAGCAGACCAGATTTTTTCCATTATGACAGTCCTACAGTGGTAACATTCTTAATAAGCAAAGAATGTTAAATCAATGTTTTCAAAGGTTAATGAAATGGTTTTTAAACTAATATTTACGCATTGTATATAAATTGGTATTGTAAACAATTGTGGGCATATCTTAATATGAACATGCAACAATAAATAAGAAAAATTCTGCATTACAGTAAATCTTGTGGTTTGGATTTATGAAAATTTAAAGGGAACGTAAACAAATTGCTATTCACCTTGCTGAAGGTGAAAAAGCACAAATAACTTGTGCAACATCTCTAATATTTTGAGAATATCACTTGCATTCATCACAAACAGCTAATTTTGATACCGGGATAGAATTAATAACCTATCAATACTTATTTTGAAATTCTGCCCATGTGCCTTCCCTAGAAAAGTAAGAAGATTTAGAGCAACTTGCTGAATTTTCTGGTGCTAGTGTTCAAGGTTAAATGGGGAAACCAGATTCCTTATTAGGCTAGATTAGATTTCTACCTCATTACACATCTGGAGAGCTAATTTTTAACTTTAATATGTCATCTGGAAGACTTTTGTTGAGATTTCAAGGCTTACAACAGAGCTTGTACCATAGAGGAACAAAATGATTTATGGAATTGCAAATGGTAACTAATATGCAATTGAACTCAATACTCAAAACATATAATCCTAACAATCTCAGTCTTGTAGTCCATGAGAAAAAAACATATTGTTTCATTTAAATGAGTAAAACATTTGACCCCATTTCCACTCCAAAACTAAGTTCAGAAAATAACGAGTCGAATACAAACTGCTATAATTAAAATGAAAAATTCATTAAATAGCAAAAATAAGACTGAAAAGCAAGTACAAATGAAACCTCAAACTGCAAAGAAAGGTCTATTCTCCCAAATGCTATATTATGTGAAGCATGTCATTCGTAGCCAGATCAAATCTGAACAATTGTTGCTTTTTCTTTTCTTTTCTTCAGAGGATGGGGAGAACAATGTTGTTGTAAAACAATTCATCCATCCAGCAAGAGAGCAGAGAGCTCTATCTGCATGATTTGTCATTATGACGAGGGGGATAAGAGTCAGTTGTGGGATCCTGGGATAGGAGGTAGCTTTTAAAGAAGAGCAAAAGCATCAGGTCAGAAAATGTTGTCGCAGTCAAAAGCAGGGGACACATGAAAGAGATAGTCCTGATCTACAACCCATCTCAAAACCCGTGGATAAAAACTCAGCCTGATTTTTGTCTGGTTCTCTCATCCTCTCCCAAATCCTTGAGAGTCACTCCCTCTTCAGGAGGTGAAAGCATGCATCACATTCTTGGGCAGCAATAATTCCTTCAGCAAACCACTTCATAGCATTGCAAGAATCATCTTCTGTTTCTTCTTTCTCTTCCTCTTTTTCTCCTCAAATCGGTCAGTAGCATCAGCAAAAAAAGTCACTTCATCCCTGGCTTCAATTTCTCTTTTTAGGAACTGGAGACCAGCTATATTAAATCCCAGAACATCCTAAAGGTAGAACATAAATACAAATGAATAGTTTAAGAAGTTTAAGAAAAGACCAGGAAAACCATTAAAGTATCATCTACTTAGTTCCATATCCACTTGCTCTTATTTCAACACTCAATTATCTAGTAATCCTGACACCCACTTTAAAACTGTAAGACAATGGCAACGTTATCCTATTATTTCAGATGGGATTCAAAACTGGAGGGAAAAAAATCATAGCAGCTAAGTATTAGCTTATCAGCAAATTTTCCTCTTTGTTTCAGATACCAACAAGCTTTAATCCTTACCCTCTCACTATTTGACAAAACTATGGGAACTTTTGTCATCCCATTCCATCCATATTCCTAGCCCTAAGGAAAGAGACATGAACTGGGACTGAAAGGATGCTCCTAACTCTTAATGCAGATGATATCCAGTGAGATATTCACTTGCTGCCTCTTCCATGACCCTGGATAAGGAACTGCAGAGCTTAGGAGATCAGACTAGAATTGTAAACCAGGTTGTTTCTAAATTCTAAACAATCGATTCTTAAATATGCAGAAATATTGTGCAACTGCACACTTACTTTCACTTGACTGACTCTGGAAAGGGTAGTTTTTTTCAGGTTCTCCATCACTTGAACAAGAAGCTGATTGCTTGTAATCTGCCCAAAGTGTATCCTAGGAGGAGGAACAAACACAGGAAAATATTTTTTTTAGATTATCAAGATATTGTTTCTGGATTCCTGACTAATCCAGGAGGAACTTTGTCTAAACTTTGGAAAAAAGACAGGTTCCCATGGTATCAAGATGAAATCCCAGGGCAGGAAGGGAGAATGAGGAAACTTCATGTAGCCTATCTTCATGTAGCATGGAAAGAAAAAACACCCTGAAATTGTAGAAGAGTAGCAAAGGGGAAGAATCTTTTTGTAAGTTCCAACCACTAGCAAAAACTGGCCATGAAACTAAAACGATAGGAGTAAAAGAGAGGGGAGGTATTCAGATAGATAGATAATAGAAAGTTAGATAATTATAATAAGCATAATAGCAAGTCTTTGACTCCTCAGATAGCTTACTGAGTGAGAAGAAAGAGGCAGGGAAAAGAAAGCCCGTCACTTTTTCCCTCATTCCTCACTTTGCTCCAAGCCCCTGACATCATAGTGTGACTTTTGACAAAAAAAAAAATTCCTGCTCTGTTAGAGGTCCTCCAAGCTTGAATTTTGTAATAAGATACACTTGCAACTTCCAGTTTATCCTGCAGAGATAATTTTCTCCCTATTCTGAACTCTTTACCCTAATTGTTGACTGATTTCCAGATATATACAAGATGCTATTTGTTGTTTTAAAGCCCTGTAACATCTAGAGAAAGCCAACCTCAAACGAGATTTATACTAATTGAGATAAAATAAGGAGGCCTGTTTTTAGTGGCAGCTGGTTCACCTGCTTACTACTTGGGATCAATCTATCTTGCTGATGGGGTCTCATATGTAGAGCACTCTTGATAGAGATGCCAAGAAGGGCTTAGAAACAGACCTTTTTCATTCAGCCTTAATAACATGGAGTTGCATTTTGAAAAAATTATCATTTTTATGTATAGTCATTTAATCTTATTGTGGGGTACATTTTGTTGTGCTTGATTTTTGCACACTACCCAGAAATCGAACAAGCAAGTGAGCAAGCAAACACATAAGTCTCGATTATACTACTTGTCAACAATATTAAAGCAATTCACAAAGTAAACAGCATTTTTAATTTTTCATTGAATATGCATGTTGATCAAGGTTGCCTTACAAGAACAATTGTTCGATATTGACAGACTATTGACAGTTTTGCCACCTTTGACAATTACAAGATATCAAAGAATGTGAAGTAATGGTCTATAGCGCAAGATAAAGGGATTGGGGATACTGATATCCAGCTTAAGTGAAATGTTCGTTGACTAGAGATTGATTTTACTGATGTATGTTTTTAAATTAACAAAAATGATGAAACAGCAAACCAGCAACTTTCACCTGTGTATTTATGTTCTAGTGACTAAACCAGAACTGCTAAGCTGTGCACAAAAATTGAGCTATTGATTTTTTTTTTTGTTAAATTCAAATTTGCTTTCTAAGCATGCCAAACTTTGATTAGGTTCCCCAAATTAATCTAAGCTAACCCTAACCTAAAGAAAATAGTAATAGTATACCTGATTAAAAAGAAAAAAAAATCCTTCAATTTACCTAAGCAGAAACAGGAGAGCTCGGCAGAGCAACTCTACTTCTAGACCCAATTCAAGGTATTGATTGAAGAGCATTAGAAGGTCAGGTACATAGGAGAAAGGCAAAACCAAAAGGGATTCTTCCAATTCACTATGAGAGTGGGAAAGAAAAAGGGTCATCATTTCCATATCAAGCACCAACAACATTAAAAAAAACCCCAACAGTCTGGCAATAATATTTTTCTCTTATCAAGGGCAGAAAAGCAGATGCTCAAGGCAAAGGGAAGGCATACTTTAAACAGTTCCTGGCACTGTTACTGCCTTCTTTCCAAGAAATAGAATTAGCTAATCAATAAAATAGGGATCATGCTGAATCCATGGTTTCAAACAACAGCTCTGGTTCTACCTTTGATTCTCAGTCTTGCTCCAGCTTGGTCTCCCTGCTCTCCTTACTTAATTCCAGCTGGATAATAGTTAGAAGCAAATGTCTGAAGTTTTTTTTCTGAAACACTAGCCTCTCAAGTGAGCTCCGTACAGCAAAAGTTTGAGAAACTCTATCCTGTGTGAAATCTGGCTTAATTTTATTTCACAGCAGAGGTAGTCAACATATATGTGAGCTGCAGAATCTATCAGCCTTAGCCATTATGGAAAAATATGACAGGAATTGCAGTCCAATAACATATGGAGGACAA